ACTGGTGCTATATATAAACACTTTCTGACTTTTCAACCATGTAAACCCACCCAAAAAAGGAAATTAAAGGAAGGGTGAATTAGTTTGGAAAGCCACAATTATCTGAATTAGAGACTAGTCACAGAGGGAGAAAGGAAATGGCTTTCCAAGGCAGCATTCCTGGCTTAATCCTGTAAAAACTGGAGGATTTGGGAACAAGCAAGGCTTGTAAGGAGTGTGGGGCCAGGTTGTCTGGAGAAGGGGTGTCATTTGCAAGTGTGAGCGCATTGCCCCGGAGTATAGGCCTGGTCTCTGACACTAGAGATGCCGTTCATTCGGTCCATACAGGAGCAACCCAGAGGTTCTGAACGTCGTATCAGCACAGTATCAGCCTAAAAGGGGCTGGGGCAGAGACCTGTTGGATTTCCGCCTTCCTCCAGCAGAAACCCTGCTTTAAAAATGACCCCCACCATGAGTTACTCCTGGAGGAAGTGGCATAAAGATCAAACATAGTTGATCTTGACATTAGCCTAATGTGTCCTAGAGACCCCGAGGGTGACAAGTTGGGAGGGGAGAAATATGACATGTTGAGTCTACATACATTTGCTGCATGTAGGTGTGTGCACACGCATGGGGTCGGAGGACCACTATCAGGAACCAGTTTTCTCTTTCCACCTTGTGGTTCCTGGGGCTCAAACCGAGGCCATCAGGTCCCACATGAGCAGCTCGCCGGACCTGATTCATGCATTCTTTTTTTCTTTTTCTTCTTGGTTTCTCAAGACGGTTTCTCTGTGTAGCCCTGGCTGTCTTTGGAACTCACTCTGTAAAGCCAACTGTCTGAGAACTCAGAGATCTGTCTGCCTCCGCCTCCCGAATACTGGGATCAAAGGTGTGCGCCACCACTGCCCGGCCTGATATGTGCGTTCTTTATACCACGTTCTGCAGAAGGGGGGCGGGGGGAGAAACAGGCTCAGAGACATGAAATGATGCCTGAGGGTCACAGAACAATCTCAGACAGGGTTAAGTGGGGAGCTTGACTATGAGCCCAGGATTTGGCCAACTCATCCATCCGTCTCTCCCAGTGGGCAGCCTCTGGGCTAGGTTGCTGTAATGACACAAATGCCACCCCCCCCCCGCCCCGCCATCCACAGCCAGTTGACAGCCAGCCAGTGGTGTGGCAGTCTGTGATAGTGGAGGGGATGGGGGTGTGGAACGGGGTGGAACACACGGAGAAAAACAGGCCAGCGGCACTTGGGCTGATTCTGTCAGGAGGGGAATCTCTACAGCCCAGGGGGACGTAAGTATCGCTCTGTATTTGTGGCTGTTTTTGTGTCCATTGTGACCAGAAGGGGGGAAAAGGTTTATTTGCACATGGAGTCAGGGAGCTTTTAGCCCATCGTGGTGGGGAATGCCTGCGTCTCTGTCTGTGAGAGCATGAGGCCATGTGGCTACTCTGCTGGTACAGCCCAGGGAGGAGAGAGAGCGAACTGAAACCAGGGCTGGGTGGACTGTGGAGAGGCCGGCCTGTGCAACCCACTCCCACCAGCCAGCACCCCCTTCTCAAGGCTCCGCACCCTTCCAAAATAGCACCACAAGCTGAGGACTGAGGGACCGAAACGGGGACCTGAAACACAGACTCCAAGTGCTAACCGTGGTGTAGAAATGTATGGAATTCTAGGGCAGGGCCTGTAGCCTAGCCAGGGCAGTGAGGAACGTGGGAGCTTCTGTGTAAGAGGCTCACGTGAGACAGTGCAGGGTGCTCCATCTTAGGACAATAGATCACAGATGCTTAGGGAGACCTGTGAAAGACTCAGCAAGACTGAGAAGCTGAGGTGGGGGGGCGCACTGGGGGAGGGAGCCCAGACCACACAGGACAGGTAGAAAGCCTTGCTCCATCCCGGCTTGAGTTCTGTGCCCCACACCCACGCCCATGTAAAAAGCCATGCAGGGCGCTGCATACTGTCACCCTGGAACTGAGGAGATAGAAATGGGCTAGCTACTCTAGCCTGATTGGTCCCCAGGTCCCAGTAAAAGCCCCTGTTTCAAAACCCATAGAAACAAGGACACCCAAGGTTGGCCTCTGGCCTCCTCATTCTCTTACACATGCAAATACATAAGTGCATGCGTGCGTGCACACACACATACACTCAAACACACACGCACATGCACAAGCACATGTGCCTGAGGAACAGGGAAAATAGTGTCTGTCTGGGTGAGCCAGTGCCTTGACTGACAGACGGACCACAGGCATTCTGTACAAAGGCTTGCTGGGCGGTGTTTATGTGGCTTCAGGTTTTCTGTTCGTTGTGTTTGGTTTGCCACTTATTTTGATTCCTTTAGTTTTAGGACTCATTTCCAAGTAGCTTTAAGTTGGCACTACGGACGGCCTGTTGTTTAGGTAGAGTTGGAGTGTTTGAAGTCTTAACACTTACAGACACTCAATTCCGGCTTTAATGACTGCACGCAGAGAGAGGGAGAGACCTGGGTGGCTTGCTTCTGTGTACAGTAAGCTGCAGATAAAAGGCCTGATTGTGCTCCCACAGCACCAATTAAGTGAAATGCCTTAACTACTGACTAGGGCTGTTTCCTGTGTGATTTGCTGTGAAGCCGTGTCCTTCCTGCTTAATCCAAGCGAGCGGGCCCAGCTGCTGGTCTCCAGAGAATTCCTCCCACCCCTTGAACCAAATAACTCCTTTACGTGGTTCAATAAAGAGGACAGTGAAAGGAAGAAAAGGAGAAAATGCACCCAACTTTTCCCCATTCACCAGACACCCCACCCGCTCTGGTCACCGGCTCCCCTGCCTGTTTGACTGTTCTGAGGAGCCTGGCAGACCCACTTTGGGCAGGTACAGGCAATGCCAAGATGTTCCATTTTCTCCAAAAGTCAGTGCAGTCTGCTCGTGACTCTCCTCCGTCTCTTGTCTTTTTATGCCACATTATCTTGGCATTCTCATCTGTATGTGCCTATGCAGGTAGTACAGATAAGTAGCCCATCCTGAGGATTTGCCAGGACTAATTAGCCAGCCCTATGGATGGACTGTTGCTATTACAAATACGCTGTGATCTTGTAAACGCCTCATTTTACGTTGCTGGAGAATATCGCTAAGACAATCTCCAGCAGCCATACGCATTTTTAGCCGTTAATACATACTGGCACGCTGCTCCCCATGGATCTGATACCAGTTTACACCCCTACCCACAATGGCGGGGACCGGTTCCCTTTGTAGACATCGCATCTGGTTTTTGTTGTTGTTTTGTTTTTTACTAAGCTGATGGGAAAATGGTATTGTTTTCCTAAGGCCGAATGTCCTGCCGTTAAAGAACCATTTGTTTTTCCCTTCTTTGACCCTTGTTCCTGCCTTTGGCCGGCTCTCCGCTGGATTGTTGTCCTTTCACACGAGGAGACCAACCCTGGCCTCCATGAGCCGTAAATCCCTTTCTGTAGCACCTTTACCCTTGACTGTGTGAAAGTGTGCTCCACCCCAACTCGTGTTCCAAGCACTCACATTTATCAGACTTTTACAATGTTTGAAAGAGTCAAGGCTGGATTTTAGTTCCTAGCAAACAAGGGATGCCTCCCAAGAGTTCTTCTAGAATGTTCCTGGGTGAGACACTCAGCCTTGAGGCTTGAAGGCATTTGCATTTCTCCTTGTGTTCATGGTGGGTGACTTTCTAGCTGTCACAGAGTCATGTGCTGAGCAGACGGTCTTCTCCACTGGCTGGAGACGTTCTCTTGACTTCTTACGTTCTGGGGGGAAACTGCAGCAGGCTCCCTCCCCCTGCTGAACTTCTCAATCTGCTCCCCTGCTCCGACTTGACCCGTAGCGCCCATCACCCCGCATGGCCACCCAAGACTTGATGTCTTTCTGCTTTTAGCTACCAAACAGCTTCCAGTCTGTGGGACGCCAGCTAGGTGAACCAAGGGCATTAATGCATTGTCTTCCAAGTGCCCGGCCTGCTAAGGGATTGCACTGGGGACTCAAGCTGTGTTTTTCACCCCTTTGAAATCCCTGCCAGAACTGGCCTTCATTCAGAAACTACTCACGGAGAACGTGGCACGCACCTCTAGGGTTTGGTGAGCTCAGGATTAGGAGCTGGTTGCGCCCTGAAGAGAGAATGCAGAGTGTTACAGTGCTCGCTCCAGACGCTCAGTGCCCCAGCTCCAGCCTTTGGGGGGGGGCATGAGTGGGGTTTTCTCCTCCAACCTCCTCAGCAAGGAAGCAGAACCTGTTTACTCACTCTCCAGGTCTGTAGCTCCCTCTCTGCAGAGGCTCCACTAGCTCATGTCTCCGTTTTAGAAGCTTATTGTCACCCTCTGACTCTGGTCTGGAGACCTGGCAGGAACAGGTCATCAGGGGGTTGGTGGCTGTGGTTAGGTTAGTCAGTGGCCTCCCTAGAAGCTTTGGTTGGATTTGAAGGCATTTTGCCACCAGTCTGCATCCACTCCCGGGGAGGCAGGGGTATGCCAGTGCCTCAGAGAAGTTCAGAGGCCGGAAATTGATGGCCCAGGCTTCCTTTCCTCGCTAGCCCAAGGAGGCTTACACAGTGCCATCTGTGTATTGTAGTGTTGTCTTCAGTCGTGTGGGCATTAACTGGGCCCCTGTGGATCAAATGAAATAACGCATGAGTCTACATCCAGCAGCTCCTGAGCCAGGACGCATCTGACAGAGGCAAGCAGAGACTAAAGTGGCTTGCAGCTCAGCCTGGCAGCTGCCAGATGGGGAGCTGCCTTTAGGGGCGGGTTCACGAGATGATTGACTGTCACGGCAGCACACGGACATGTCTGACCATGCCCTCCAGGATTTTCCAGCTGATCTGTAGAGCCCATGTTTCAAGGGAGGCTGTCCAGAGTTCCCACACAGAATTTGTTGAGTGGCCAGGAGACAGACGTCAGGCTTTCTTCTTGGGATGTTCATGATTTGTCTGACATCTTTGGGGCCTCTGGCCCTCTCTCCTCCTGCAGGTCAGAGTGGGAGCCTTGCAATTTGGTTCCACTCTTCATCTGGAATTCCCTTTGGACTCCTTTTCAACGCGACAGGAAGTGAAGGCAAACATCAAGGGGATAGTTTTCAAGTAAGCATAATGGGATAGCGCTAGCTGCTTGTTCCCTCCCTCCCTCCCTCTCTTCCTTCTCCTCTTCCTCCTCTCTTTCTCTCTCTCTCTCCCTCTCTCTCTCTCCTTCTTTCCTTCCTTCCTCTCTCCTCCCACCCCTTTTGAAACAGGGTCTCACTGTGTAGTCTAGCCTGACCCAGAACTCTCCCTGAAATCACAGAGATCCACCTGCCTCTTCCTCCCTGAGCGCTGGGACTAACGGTGTGGCCCCCACACCTGGTGAGGCAGCTGCACTTAGAACTGCTGCCGTGAAGGGTTCAGGCCAACTCACCCCCACACTTCTCCAAGCCTTACGTTTTACATCCTGGAGACTAAGTTCCCTTCCGTTATTCAGGCGCTTTAAGATTTTGGAGAGCTGTTCACATGCTCATCTGCATACACAGTGCATGGATGTAAGCATGTGCTCATCTGCATACACAGTGCATGGATGTAAGCATGTGCTCATCTGCATACACAGTGCATGGATGCCCTTGAAGTGAGGTTTCTCATGTGATATCTTTTGAAGTCTGTCCTATGGTAGCTCACTTCCCTCAGAATTGTATTCATGAGAGTGGGCAGAACTGGTTTATAATGTAGATTGTCTAGCCCTGGGGAACATACCTGTCAGTCTGAGCTCATGGGGACTGGGGTTCTGAGAATCTACATCTTGAAGTGACTGATTTTTATGTCTGTTGGGACTTGAGACTGATCTTCAAGTTCAGCTGCTTACACTGGCCTGTGGGTGATCACTGACTCTGGTGTCACTCACACAGCTTCTTACAGTGGCCTGTGGGTGACCCCTAACCCTGGTGTCACACAGCTTCTTACAGTGGCCTGTGGGTGACCACTAACCCTGGTGTCACTCACAGTTTCTTACAGTGGCCTGTGGGTGACCACTAACCCTGGTGTCACTTACACAGCTTCTTACAGTGGTCTGTGGATGACCACTAACCCTGGTGTCTCTCACACAGCTTCTTACAGTGGCCTGTGGATGACCACTCACCCTGGTGTCACTCACTATAGTCCTAGATGGAGCAGGACCACGCCACGCTTTCCCTACTCTAGCATGGAAGGACAGCTGAACTCAGGCTGGATCACTTTTTTGAGTTCGCCTGACTTAAGCCTTCACAGTAAAGCTATTCGAGACCCTATAACTCAAGAGCCCCCATGCTTATTCACTTGGCTACACTGATAGCAAATGCTTAGATGCTAGCCCCGCCTCTCCATGGAGAAAACCTAACCTCTCCTCCGCTCAGGACAGCAGTCTGCTGCAGGCCTTCGGCTCCCCATTTAGCTTGGTGCCATGGCGATGTCAGGGGAATCTTAGCGTCTTAGCCTCCAGCCACCATGTGTGGAGCCAGCTGTGTAGCTGAGAACAGATTGATGGGTCTATGGCATGGTGAGAGTTTCTTCTCATGCCCCGGAGGCCAGAGTCATTGGGAGACTCTCCTGGGCTTGGCGGGAAGGCGGCGGCGAAGGCAACCTGAGCAAGGCCAGTGGGATATGGAGAGAGGAGGGCAGCGAGCACGGCGCCTGTGTGCTGAGCTGTGAAGACGGTGGACACCATGACCATGGCGGAGGTGTGGGGGGCTGGACCTCTGAATAATTAGTGTCTTGCTAACCACGGGCTAATGGCAAGGAAGAGGCAGGTCCAGACCAAATCAGAAACATGGGTTTGGGAGTCTCAGACTCCCCAGGCCTTAGACTTTGTAATGGAAATCTGGATTAAATCCATGACTTGCCCTGCATGTGGTAGAGGGACAAGGAGCACAGTGTCACCCTGCAGGTGTCCAGGGCCCCCGGTGTGACACATGGAGACAAGGGTCACGGAGGACCAGTGCTGTTTCTTCTGGTCCCTAAGCCTCGACGAGCCTGTAGGAGGAGCAGTGGTGATGGACCAGGAGGCAAGAGATGCCCCCAGAGTGAGAGCAGGGCCTGACTGTGAAATGCAGAATCCAAGGCTACAGCCAGGAGCCCCCGGCGCTCAGGGCCCAGGCAGGGGAGGATGTGAAGACGCAGGGCACTCATGGCTACCGGGCACCTTGGCATTGGGAGAGTTGTATGAGCACTTAGGCAGACCGCACAGAAAAGCGTTGAGACGTTTCCAGGAAAAGCCTGCAGGACATGCGGTCTCTGTACAATGCACAGAAATGAACAGGAATGCCTCTTTTCCAGTAAAACCAGGAAATGGGCAGCAGGGTCTGCCCATAGAGAGGAAAGAACATGGGCTTCAATGAGCTCAAGTGGGTTTAAACCCCAGTTCTGGCCCTCTCCTAGGTAGTGAGAAACAGGTGGATTGACTGTGAAGACTGTCAAACCACAGAGATAAGACCTTGGGGCTGGGTGGTGGTAGTGAACACCTTTAATCCCAGCACTCAGGAGGCAGAAGCAGGAGGATCTCTTAGCCTGAGGCCAGCCTGGTGTATGGAGCGAGTTCCCGGACAGTCAGGACTGTTATTCAGGGAAACCCTGTCTTGGAAAAAAAAAAAAAAAACAACCACAATACCAAAACAAAAAAAGAACTTGGGGCCTGGAAGCAGAGGACTCTCTCTCTCTCTCTCTCTCTCTCTCTCTCTCTCTCTCTCTCTCTCTCTCTCTCTCTCTCTCTCTTTGTCTCTGTCTCTGTCTCTGTCTCTGTCTCTGTCTCTCTCCCTCTTTCTATGTGTGTGCGAGTGCGCCTTTGAGCCTTTGTTAGGAGTCACTGCTCTTCCCTACCGATAGGGCTCTGGGCTCTCTTCCCAAACTTCCCCCACCCACATCTTCCTGTGTCTCCTGTCTTCAGGGGTGGACGCACAGAGACAGGCCTTGCTCTGAAACACCTGCGCAGAGGGTTCCCCGGAGGCAGAAATGGTACCGTGCCCCAGATCCTTATCATCATCACGGATGGCAAGTCCCAGGGGCCCGTGGCTCTGCCGGCTAAGCAGCTGAGAGAAAGCGGCATCGTTGTGTTTGCCGTTGGGGTCCGCTTTCCCAGGTGAGTGCCTCCTTCAGTCTGCGTCACCCTTCACGCGGTGGGGTCAGCATGCAGAGGCCTTCCAGAGCCTTCGCCGCAGCAGCAAGATTGGGGCTCTGGGAGAACCTACTGGTCTTTGTGCCCCTCTGCCTTGTTTTGCTGGTTCTGGCTGCACTGCACAGAACGTCCCCCGCCTTTGAAAGCACCGGGTTTCCGAGCTTCCCTCTGCTTTCAGATGAACGTGGGTTGTAAGCATCCAAAGCCAACTCAGACTCATTTTGACAAAATCAGAAATTAGTGGAGTCACCACCTCATTTCCCCCTGTGGGTCAGCAGCCCCGCTGGTGGGTGAGAGCCATGGAGCTCAGTGCTGCTCAGCTCTACTCTGTCCACCACACGTCTCCTCAGCCTCCCCACTGTCCTCTCAGCCTGGGAAGGTTAGGGTTAGGAGCTGGGGCCATAGACAGCATGCCAACCCCACAACTTCTCATCTCAGTGTTGGTGGGAGGGGGAGGGCACCATCTCCAGCTTCTGCTAACCTAGTTCTGACCAGTCTGAGGCACATGCGCACCTGGGGGAGTCTATGAGTGGCCCACCACCCCTCCAGCCACCCTCATCCAGGTGTTGGGCAAACTTGCCTTCCTGGAAGAAGATGGCCGCATTCTCTCCCTGTGCTCCCAACCTTAAAAATGGACATGTACACAGGCCTTGGGACTCTAATTGTGGGTTTTAGGTGAAATGACTTGGGGACAGGCACCATGCTTACACTTAGGAAACTTTTTTGTCTCTCAGAATAGGTTTCCTCCTCATGCTGACACTATGATGGGTTCTTAGAGAACATGTAGATGCCATCTCATGGGAAAGCACTAGACAATAAAGGAACGAGTGGGTGTGTAAGAAGTGTGACTTCAGGCGAGACAGTGGAATTGGGCAGAGGGTAAGGACTGATGGGGACACGGATGGTAGCTTTGAGAGAAGGCTGCCAAGGCTGCTTTCAGGATTTCCTTTTTTTTTTTTTTCAAACAAACAGGGCAGTCAGGTGGTAGCTAAGACCCGAGGCAGTATCTGTGGACAGGAGCTCAAGCATGCTGCTCAGTCCCAAGGAAAAACGTACACAGAGCAGCAAGGGAGGCCGCGGGGACTCTGCTGTGGGTGCTGGGCAATGGCTCACTTAGTACAGTGTGTGCAAGGGTGAGAACCTGGGTTTGGATTCTCAGCACCCAGGTTTAGTAAACGAAAAGAAAAGGGTGCTGCTACAAGGACCTGCAGCCCCAGAGCTGTAGGGGCAGTGACAGAAGAATCTGCAGGAGTCGCTGGCCATCAGCTTAGCACCAGCCCAGGAAGCCCCGGCTTCCCTGAGAACGGCTGTCTGTGAGAGCACAATGGGGACTGATAGAACCAGACACCTAACACCTTCCTCTGGCCTCAGGACATACATCTGCCTGTACACACACTACACACAGACACACACACGCCACACCTCCCCACCCTCCCCATCACACTTAAATATATCACACACACCACAATACACCCCGCACTACACACATACATTCAGCCCACACATACAGATACCACACATGTGCACATCACACATAGCCCACCACATACAATGCACCCACAATACACTTACCACACACACACACACACACATACACACGCCACACCTCCCCATCCTTCCCATCATACTTATATATATCACACACACCACAATACACCCCCACTACACACATACATTCAGCCCACATATACACACACCACACATACACAAATCCCACATAGCCCACCACATACAATACACTCCACAATACACTTACCATACACACATGCACACACATGCACACACCCACACCACACCACACATGTTTTTAAAACTCTGTTGTGGATATTGCTGAAGACTTTGGAGTTTATTGTGAGTAGATTGGGAAGCTCTTGGGGATTTGGGGACAGATAGAAATGGCATTTTCAGATGGTCACACTGGCTGGGGCACTAGGGAGGAGGCTTTGGAGTAGCTCAGACCAGAGACAGTTCTGTTCAAAGGACCAAGCTTCTGGGTCATTCTGGGAAACGCTGGGGCACTCTGGGAAACGCTGGGGCACTCTGGGAAACGCTGGGGCACTCTGGGAAACGCTGGGGCACTCTGGGAAACGCTGGGGCACTCTGGGAAACGCTGGGGCACTCTGGGAAACTCTGGGGGGCACTTTGGGAAATGCTGGGGCATGCTGGGAAACTCTGGGGCATGGGGGCATGGCTGGACTCAGGTGTGTTGTGACAGCAGATCAGCACAATGGCTGCTGAGTCAAATTGCACTGGGAGTGGAGAAAGGAGGATCTGGCCTGAACCCTAGAGTGAATGAATGGTGGTGCCATTTCTAGCCGCAGAGATGAAGACGAGGATGCTATCTGAAAGCATGCCGTTCCATATCTGGCCCCTTTCCCGCTCACCGAGCCTCTTTGCTGATGCTTCTCCACTCTGGCTAGCACCGGAATTCCTTGGGCAGCTTTGGAGAAAGCCTGCCGTTGGGCCAGAACAGTAGAACTGGCAACAGGAAGGCCACATCTGAGAAGCTCCCTTCTGTGCGCCAAGGGGTAACTGGGTGCTGCGTGGAAAGTTTGGCCTCCGTGGGTTCAACAAGAAGGGAGAGTTTGGCACCAGTAAAGTTGGGGTGGGGTGCGCGGTGACTTTCTGGTTCTGTTTGGCTGAGTTTCAATAGTGGGATTTTTCACACCACAGACTGCCTTATCTTCACCGGGTTTCAAGGTATTTTCTTCTTTGTGTCAGGGCGGGGCACACAGGCATGCCATGGTCCATTTGCGGAGGTCAGTTCTCCCCTTCCACCGTGTGGATCCCAGGGATCAAACTCAGGCTATCGGGCTTGGCACGAGTGCCCTTACCCGCTGAGCCTCTCTCGCTGGCTCTTAAACACACAAAAACTAAGTTAGCATTTATTTGTCTTATTACGGAAAGATTCTCAGTGCTCTCCCTTCTTCCTGACCTAGGGTCATCCCAAATACCGTTTTGTCCTGGGCACTGGTGGCGACCCCCTCCGGGCACTGAGGGATTCCAACTGTGTCCTGTCCCCTCCGCAGCCCCACGTGGCTGACCCTGGGGGCTTGTGTGTCTGTGGTGTCTCCAGTGTTCTGTTGTCGCTGGCTGTCCTTATTTGCCCTTCTCTTTCTTGCCCCAGACAGCTTTCTCTCGTTTGCTTTTCAGGTTGGTTATAAGTCATTAATATTTAACTTTAAAAAAAACAAGAGAGGAATGTACTACAAAAGAGGATGTTAGAAACGTGAGCATGTGTACGTTTGTGTGTGCGGCATCCATGGGAAGATTTCCCATAGTTAGAGTTTTTCTTGTCAGCTATGACTCTCAGCAGAGTCAGTTGGACCCGTCAGCGCTATGTCTTGCGTGCATGAGCTTATTGGTCTGAGGATGAGGAGTTTTAGCACAGGGTAGCCCATAGCTGGGCTTCCTTGAGAACTTACTGAGTTTGCGTCTCCATCTCCCCCGAGCAGGTGTGTGTTCCTAGGAAGTGACTTCTGGGTCAGTGGGATGGTGCTGTGGTCCAGGAGTTAGGTAGGCAGAAGGAGAGAGGGCGCGGCATCAGCTGCTGGATTAACGGCGCTCCCCCTCCGCCCCCCGGCCCCCAGGTGGGACGAGCTGCTCACACTGGCCAGTGAGCCTAAGCAGCAGCACGTGCTGTCAGCTGAACAAGTGGAGGATGCCACCAACGGCCTGCTCAGCGCCCTGAGCAGCTCGGCACTCTGCACCCCTGCTGACCCAGGTAGGACCCACCAGCCTGCAAGGGAACAATGGCCTTGAGCCTAATGAACTCTAGGGTGTGAGCTGAACAGGGCTCCCCAGGCAAGGGCTTCCCAGGGAGGGCTGCTAAGAGACAGGCAGGCCCTGTCCTGGGCACTCTGTTCTGTCTCCCTGTGACTGGCCTTCTGGGTTTCCCAGCTGGAGTTCTGAGCTTGCGTCTATGCGGTAAGAGGGACCTGGGTTTATGGTCAGACTTGGTCGGGCCCTCTCCCCTGTTGGGGAGAAAAACCAAGTCTTGGCTGCATGGAGGAAACTGAGGGAGGTTTTGGGCTTATCCCTCCCGTCAGGGTCCAGAACTATAATGACACTCATTAGAGAAATATTTGTGTACGTGCTCCCTGTGGAGCCCTGGCCAGAGGAAATCCCGAAACTGCCTCACTTGGGTGTTCTGCCCCAAGAGAGGCCACAGGCTCCACTGTCAGGGGTAGAGTAGAACTCCATAGCAGCCGCTCTGGAGAGCAGAGGCAGAGGCACGCAGCGTCCCTTGTCTTACTGGGAGGGGAACTGTTTTCTGACACAGATTGCAGGGTGGAAGCTCACCCCTGCGAGCGCAAGACGCTGGAGACCGTCAGGGAACTCGCTGGCGATGCCCTGTGCTGGAGGGGATCGAGGCAGGCGGACGGTGTGCTGGCCGCACGCTGTCCCTTCTACAGGTTTGTCTGCATGCTCTGGGGCAGAAGTACCACAGGAGGCCAAGGATGGCGCTCTGAGGAACAGGGAGAGCTCAGCTACCTGCTGTAGGCCTCTCAGTCTCCTGAACACTTAGCTGGGCCCGCCTTGGTGGCCGGGGCTGGGGAGAGCGGGGCCAGGGTTACATTGGAACTGGAAGCCAGGGAGAGCCTGGACGGGGAGGTAGTATTTGTATCTAGACCTGGGGAAGGTAGGGACAATGCACATGCAAGTTTCTGTGCACATAACAAAGCCTGAGAGACGGGGTCATACATGCCTGCATGTATGTCCAGGCAAACACACATGCATGTGCACACACACACACACATGAACCTGCACGCACACATGCATGCACATGGTGAGTGCATGTGCTTTCTAAGCCTTCAAAGCTAAGACTTCTGTGAGGCCAACAAGAGCAGGCTGGGTAGGGGGAGCTGGCAGCTTTCCTGAGTCTGTGCTTCCAGCAACTTCCCAAGGTCTCCCTTGGCATGCTCTATCAGTCCCCACCCCCAGAAGTCCTATCAGTCCTATCACAGAGGCCATCTATGAGCCTGTCTCCGGGCAGGCAGCCTTTGCAGAAAAGGAGTCCTGTTCAGAGCGTGGCCAAGGCCCTGAGCCTCCTTAGCTAAGGCCATGTCAGAGGCTGCGGCCTGCCAAGGGGAGACATGCTGCCCAGCGGTGAGGGACACTCTCGGGATTTGCGGGGTGGAGAGCAGTCATGGCTTTGGAGTAAGATGGCCAGTGTTCCAATCCCAAGCCCATGCTGCTTGGTATGGACGCTATGTGGCTGTCCCAAGAACAGTGATTTCTGTGTTACAACAGGATCCTAGTTCTCAAGAGGACTCAGGAAAGAACCAAGTATGGTGGTTTTCAAATCCTCTTTGAGCTTGGGGTCTCTTGAGGACATGGGTCTAGATGGATGGAAACAGCAGGGTGAAGGAACAGGGCTGGGGTGCCGGGGGTGGCCCGGTATTATGGTTATTCAAGCCCTTTCCCTCATCATCAGAGCCCCACAAAACTCAGTTGAGAACTACAATGTTCTGATGTAGAAGAGGGGACTGAAGACTAGAAGGCCTATGCCTGGTCACACAGCCAAAGCCAGACCCTATTCCCAGAATTCCTCCTCCCTGCACCTGAGCCTGCTGTAATGATGGTGATGATACATCTGTTCCCAGGGGAAATTTACACACACACACACACACACACACACACACACACACACACACACACGCACGCGTGCACACACACACACACCCTCTAACCTGTTTGTTTTTAAAGACAGGGTTTCTCTGTGTAGCCCTGGCTGTCCTGGAACTTGCTATGTAGACCACCAGGCTGGCCACAGTCTCAGAGGTCAGACTGCCTCTGCTCTTGTCTCCCAAGTGCTGGGACTAAAGGCTAACATTTCTGACTTTTAATGGGACACCTAGTTAACACCTTTTTTGAGGATGGAGGAAAAGGCTCTGGGTGATCTGGAACATTCCCCACTTTACTGAACAAGGAAGGAAGTGAGCGTTTAGTGCTATGATCTCTGAGACCTTTGGTCATTCCTGTTGTAATTTAAGAAAAGCAGTACTCGAGAAAAAGACACCATGAGACAGGGTTCAAGCAGGGTTTTTTTTTTAAATTAGGGTTAGGGTTCATAAACTGGGGAAAGGGGATGGAGGAGGCCAGCCTCTGGGGACAGGAGCTGGAAAAGGGGAGAGAGGAAAAGAGGGGCAGAAAGAGAGAGAGAGAGAGACAGACAGAGAGACAGACAGACAGACAGACAGAGACAGACAGACAGACAGAGACAGACAGACAGACAGACAGAGACAGACAGACAGACAGACAGACAGACAGAGACAGAGAGACAGACAGACAGACAGACAGACAGAGACAGACAGACAGAGACAGACAGACAGAGACAGACAGACAGACAGAGACAGACAGAGAGACAGACAGACAGAGAGACAGACAGACAGAGAGACAGACAGACAGACAGAGACAGAGAGACAGACAGACAGACAGACAGAGACAGAGAGACAGACAGACAGACAGACAGAGAGACAGACAGACAGACAGACAGACAGACAGACAGACAGACAGACAGACAGACAGAGAGAAAGAGATGAACCCAGAGAGAGACAGACGGACAGAGGGAGAGAGAGGAGGATGGGAGGCGGGCAGGGTCCTCTTAAAAGGGAACACAGTTAACATACACAGGTGGTGCTCTTAGTGGCTGCAGCTGAGGGTGTATCCTGTCAGAACCCCGAGGACAGGCCAGTACAGAGGCCTGAACACTAACAATCCCACCACTGTATTTCCTTGGATTGTAGCTGGAAGAGAGTGTTGCAAACACACCCTGCCACCTGCTACAGGACCACCTGCCCAGGTATGATTTCCCTCTTGGACCCACCGGCTCTCTGTGAGGCCAGTTTAAGAAGGGGCACGGCCATCCTGAGCCTGAGGTGGGCTTGGGATGAGTTCCAGGGCAAGAGGGATGGGCATTTAGTGGCCCAAGGAGTGGTGTGCTGCTGTACGTAACTCTTCCTCTGCCTGGTGGCCTATTTTCACTGAGCACGGACTGACGGATGGCTTTGGAGCTACCCCCTGCGCCACTTTGCATCAGTGATGAACACCCTGAGTTACAAGGCAAATGGTCTCACATTTGTTTAGCGTTACCTAGCATTAAACCTGGGGCAAGACAGCTGAGTGGTTTCCACCTCCGTCCAGTGGAGTTACATCTGCCTGACGTTTGCAGCCTCGCTTTCCCAGTCTTCACCACAGAAGGGCCTCACTCCTGGACCCTGCTAAGAATCCGCTAGGTATCGCTTGTTGTGGAAGGGCTTGATCACTGCAGCAGGAGGGAGCATCAACGGCATTAAGCCTCATTCACCGTGGTCCCCAGAGTGCTCCCCTCACGGAGGTCCAGCACCTCCCACGTCCTACAAGCAAGCATCCACCCTGAGTGTTGTCTTTTTTGGGCTTGCCTCCCTGGTAAGGGGCAGACAGTAGATTTCAGGCATGGAGGGGGAGGTTCCCTGCCTGGGTCAAGGAAGCCCCTTGGCACATTCTTTCAAAGTGTCAAAGCCCCAACATCACTGGTCTGATATGAAGGAGAAACTGACACTGAGGTCATGGCTGTGGAGAAGTTGTGGAATCCCAGTGACCTGAGCTTGAGGCTCAGCTTGGGCCTGCCCCGCCCTGCCCCGCCCCGCCCTGCCCCGCCCTGCCCTGCCCCGCCCCGCCACCTGACTTTCAGTGAGAGACTTCTGCTCATGGAGCTACAGCTTCCTGTCTGCAAATAGTTTTTGTTTTTAAACATGTTTTTCTTCCTTTTTTTAAGATGTATTATGAATGCAACACCCTGCCTTCATGTATGTCTGCATGCCAGGAGAGGGCACCAGAACTCATTACAGATGGTTGTGAGCCACCATGTGGTTGCTGGGAATCAAACTCAGGACCTCTGGAAGAGCAGTTGGTGCTCTTAACCTCTGTACCATCTCTTCAGCCCCTGAGTTTCCATGTCTTAAGATGGCCATGTGGTTGAGATCAGGCCTGGCTTGGGCTGTGGTTAGCACAGGCCTTGTCTCCATGGCAACAATGTTTAGCTGGAAGTCTGTGGCTGTAGTTTCCGAGGCCCCTGAGAGTTCCCCATGATGCTTAAACTGTTAGTACAGCGGGCCAAGGAAAGGCCCAGAATGTGTGTCAGCCAGGTCTGTCACTGGAAATCTGTCCTTAACCACAGTGATGTAACCGGTAGACAGAGATACTACGATGCTTTTTTGACAAGAACTTTCCAGCCTCAATGGTGACACACTCAGCTGTTCCCTAAGCTTGCGCTAATGCCTGATGATCCCTCTTGTTCCTGAGACTTTGGGAGGAAGGCGGGGGGGGGGGTTAGAACCGTATTTTAAGAACTGATAAAGAGCAAGGAACTCGAGGAACTAGTGGCCGCAGAGTACCATTGGCTAGATTCTTCAGAACGGCCCAGCTTCCACATACACTGTGCTTCCCCGTGATTCACACCAGCCTTGTTATGCACTGTGTTCACACCGGCCCTGACGCACACTGTGTTCACACCGGCCCTGACGCACACTGTGTTCACACCAGCCCTCAGGAGGAGGCATTACTCTCAATCTGCACTTTGCACTCAAAAGCAAATGTCTTATCTCTCCAGCGCAGTTTGCTTCACACGGGGCCATCCCATGGGTTAGGGTGCTTTGTTTCCACTGGTAGCATTGTGGGAGATAAGTATGAGGACCGCAAACCTCACTTGCAAAGCTCGCGGGGGGGGGGGTGAATTAAGGTGCCCGCAGAAGTTAGAGGTGGCTACATCCGTCCCGGGCGGCCTGACTACCATGTGTGTTGAAAGCATGTCGCTCTACTCTGTCAAGAGGCAGCAGCCTTAGGCGACAACCACACACTGTTCTTTGACAAAGAGAGGGGCTGTCAGCCCACGGTCATGCGGTTTCCACCTTGATGCGAGGAGACCTCCGTCCTTCGCAGACTCAAGTGAAACACAAGGTAGTCGTTATGCCCCCTCCCCGCCCCCTAGTCCTTTCAGCGGGCAGACAACGATGCCATTGCACTAATATCACTGTGGGAGCACAGCTGCGGGAGCACGGCTTGCATACACTCACCCTGGAGTGGTCTGCAATGCTCTCGGCCCGTACCTGGGTCTTCCAGCTGTGTCCAGTCCCTCTCCTAGGTATTTGAGTCTTTCTTGTCTGCTCTCTTACTAGACAGTGAGGGCAGAAAGCAGGGACCCCCCTTCAGGAAACAGTCTACACCCTCTGCGCCTGTGTTCTTGATTTTTAACGTGCATTTCTCTGATAGGCCCCTGTGACTCCCAGCCCTGCCAAAATGGAGGCACATGCATTCCAGAGGGTGTGGACAGATACCGCTGCCTCTGCCCGCTGGCGTTCGGAGGGGAAGTCAACTGTGGTGCGTACGCCTTGGGATCCCCGAGAGGGGGAGGGAGGTAGGATCCGGGTCCACTCTTCTTGTCCCCTGCTGGGTTGGAAGGAGCCCTTACATTTCCATGCTGCCTTCCTGCCCCTCACAGCCTGGTCCCTCACAGCCTCAGACACTGCATGATTGGCCCAGACGGTGGCACTCCAGCGGCGCTGTCAGACAGCTGCTGCCTAACATCTGGCCGTGTCTGTGGCTTGGCTCACATCTTCTGCAAAAGAGGAGCAAGGAGCCCTAGCTTCTTTTGGTTTTGAAGCCGTGCAGTGAAGACTCTATAACCCTCGGCTCACGGCGGGGAGTTAGGGGGGGTTAAATAAGGTCATGAAGAGTTACTGGGTGCAGTGTTCAGCTCACAGCAGGAGCCCGCCACATAGCTTTTACAAGTGTGCCCGCTCTTGCCTCAGTCGGAGACCTCAAACCTACTCAGAGTCCATCCAGGATGACATGGAAAAAAAACAGCAAAATAGCAACGCTTCTAGAAGAAATGTAGGGAGTGTATTTCCATGATCTTAAAAACTGACAAAAGGGGGCTGGAGAGATGGCTCAAAGGTTAAAAGCACTGACTGCCCTTCCTGGTATCCTGAGTTCAATTCCCAGCAACTACATGGTGGCTGACAGCCATCTGTAATGAGATCTGGTGCCCTTTTCTGGCCTGCAGGCAGAACACTGTATAAATAAGTAAATAAATCTTTAAAAAAAAACTGACAAAAGCTATCTCAGGACACAAGGGGCGCTAACCACAATGGGGGAGTAAGAAAACAGGTGCGTTTTGCTTTATAAAAAAGCAGGACTGCGTCCCGCGGGAGAGAGGCAGGACAGAGCAGTGCATCTCTATCTCCTCTGTCTCTCTCTGACCACTGGAGACTTACTCCAGGGGTGCCAGCTTCTCTGCTCCAGCGTCTTCCTGGGGGGCTCCTTGTGCTGGAAGCGGTATGGAGGCACCTCAGGTAGGACTGTCCTGTACACTGCAATGGCCCTAGGTGACAGTAAGCATCACTGTGATTCTCCCAGCCCCAAAGCTGAGCCTGGAATGCAGGATCGACGTCCTCTTCCTGCTGGACAGTTCGGCAGGCACCACCCTGGAGGGCTTCCGGCGAGCCAAGACCTTTGTGAAGCGCTTCGTGCAGGCCGTGCTGAGTGAGGACTCTCGGGCCCGCGTTGGGGTGGCCAGCTACGGCAGGGACCTGAAGGTGGCCGTGCCTGTCGGGGAGTACCAGGACGTGCCAGACCTGGTCAGGAGCCTCGACAGCGTTCCCTTCGGTGGTGGCCCGACCCTGACCGGCGGTGCCTTGCTGCAGGTGGCAGAGCATGGCTTTGGGAGTGGCAGCAGGACAGGCCAGGACAGGCCCCACAGAGCCGTGGTTCTGCTTACTGAAGCACACTCCCAGGATGAGGTGGCCGGGCCAGCAGCTCACGCGAGGGCTCGGGAGCTGCTGCTCCTGGGCGTGGGCAGCGAGGCCGTGCAGGTGGAACTGGGGGCCATCACAGGCAGCCCGGAGCATGTGATGGTCTACACGGACCCTCAGGATCTTCTCGGCCAAATCCCGGAGCTGCAGAGGAGGTTGTGCAGCCAGCCACGGCCAGGTAAAATTGTGCAGCCTGACCTAGGGCTGGCTTGCCAGCAGACGGGTCCGTCTTTCTTCTTGGTGTCGCTAATCATTCTTTTCTGTAATGCCCTATGCTGGGGACTGGAATCATAGTCACATGGCCCACAGGGAGGGAGGGTAGCACTCCGGTGGGTCCTTCTTGTGAGGACTAGATAAGGCAAGGCGCACGCACGCCCTGCCGATGGTAGGCATCGCTACTCATCATGCTCGGTCATCGTTACTCATCCCCGGCAGTTCCGAGTCTACCAAACCTGCTTGAGAACGCTGGCCTCTCCAGTGGTAGCTCATTAAAGAGAAATGCATTCTTGGGACATGTGCATGCACACCAGCTTGTTGCTTGCACACTCCAACACAACCACAGCGAACATTTTCTAAGATGATCCCTAGCCTGTCTGGCTGGCATGTGCTATAGCGCTTTTCTGTCCCGTTTCATTGCCCACAGGGCTGATTTTTTGTGAGTAGCGGGCAGAGGGAGAATGGCAGCCCTGGGAGTAGGCATGGGCATGCAGGGGCTGGGCTGGTGCCAGAGACATCAGAGCCAGAACACACCCTTAAGAGGGCACTTCAGTGCTCCCTTCCTGGGGGGCTGAATGGGGGAAACAGCAAATGGAACTCTGTAGTGGGATATCCACTCCACACCCCCAACTCCCCCCCTGCACCTGTAGCTCTGACTATGCCCATTTGGGTGTGGCCACAGGTGTGTATGTGACGGAGGTCTGGGGTCCCGACCCCAGGACGCTCTCTTCCTTCTGGTCAGGTCGCAGAGAGCAGCCTGGGTGTGGATCCTTGGAGCGGGTCATCTGTTTATTGGGTTAAGTGCCCCCCCCACCAAACACAATTATATTAACCTGCACTGACCCTGGTCCCATGCCTCTTGATCCATGCATCCATAGCCCTGAGCATGCTAGGCTGTGTTACTGTCCCCAGAGGCGAGAGTGCCCAGTTCTGTGACAGTATAGTCACGGGTGTGCGGAAGAGGCGTGCCCATTGCAGAGGGTCCCTGCATTGGTTCCCTGGCATTAGAGCCGGCCATTGTCACAGCTAGCAGGCCAAGACTGATAACTACTGCTCAGTACAGCTCACCTTTGTTCACGCTTCTCAGCCTTTACCTGGAACCTCCTTGTCCCCAGATGCCAGCAGTGGCCCCTCAGGACAGTTAGTGAGTGGCCCTGTCTCCTTCGGCTTCTGTGGTCGTGGCAGTATCTGTATTTTCCTGGTACCCAGTGTGGTTTTTAAAAGCCAACAAACCAGACCCCTCTCCTCCATCTTTAAACCTCCCCAGTGGCTCTCTCTGCATCTGAAAGAAGCCTGAGCTCCTCCCACTGGCTTCTGAGAACTTCCCATCCGGCTCCACGGTTCCCACACACTGAGAGATGGAGGAAGATACCGCCCCACTTAGAGGCACGCCCCCTATCAGCTTCCCACTTTCCCTTTGGAGCTAACAGAAGCATCCTCAAGCCACGTGTCCCGCTGTCTGCTCTGGCCTGCTTCCTGCTTTCTCTACTGCATGGCTGGCTCTATTGCACATTCATGTTCATTTCCCGTATACACGTCATAGGTGGCTAGTCCGTGGGGGCGGGTCTCAGCCTGATCAGTACACGTAACGATGTTAGTGTCCTGTGTACGCTGGGCAGCACGTGATCGGAGGTGAGTGACCCGAGCCGGCAGGTGGTCCGACTTTGCCATCTTGTGGCTTCCGTGTTGAGGTCCAAGGTCACCCTTTGCCAGCCATCAAGAAGAGGAAGATGGGGAGGAAGGTGGGGGGCCAACGGCTTCCATGGGCACGCCGTCAGGGTACCGCACGGCCACACCTAGAGGCCAGGGAGACCAGGAGGTGGCATCCAAGTGGCCGCTCGCATTCACGTTTGTATGTTAGAAGAGCCCAGCTGCGGTTATGAGGAGAGTGGGTGCTACACGTCCGTCCAGCACACCGAGTGACCCGGGCTCCACGCAGCCCACAACAGCCCCCGCTGTGCCAGGTAGGTCCAGGCAGTGTCCCTCTCCTGCTTGCTCCTCCAGGCTGCCAAGCACAGTCGCTGGACCTGGTGTTCCTGCTGGACGCCTCCGCCTCGGTGGGGCCGGAGAACTTCGCCAGGATGCAGACCTTCGTCAGGAAATGCGCTCTCCGCTTCGACGTGAACCCCGACGTCACTCAGGTTGGCCTGGTGGTATACGGCGGCCAGGTGCAGACAGCCTTCGGGCTGGACACCCATCCCACCCGCGCTGCCGTGCTGCGGGCCACGAGCCAGGCTCCCTACCTAGGGGGGGTGGGCTCCGCTGGCACGGCCTTGCTGCACATCAGTGACAAGGTGATGACTGTCCAGAGGGGCGCCCGCCCTGGTGTCCCCAAGGCTGTGGTGATGCTCACGGGAGGGAGCGGGGCAGAAGACGCAGCTGTCCCTGCCCAGAAGCTGAGAAACAATGACGTCTCGGTCTTGGTTGTGAGCGTGGGGGCTGTCCTCGGGGAGACGGTGAGGAGGCTCGCCGGTCCCCGGGACTCCCTGATCCACGTGGCAGCTTACTCGGACCTACGGTACCACCAGGACACGCTCGTCGAGTGGATATGTAGAGGTGAGTGGGGAGAGAGTATGTATCCCGTAGAGCTGTCTTAAGACAGGGCTTTAGTCTGAGTAGTCACACACGTCACGATGAGGAAGACCGCTTCCTAGTCCTCATTTGCCACGCATCAGCTCATGGGCCAAGCCCTACAGTCCCACAAAGCCCCAGTCTCGTCAATCCCATGCTAAGCTGTTGCCGCAGGACCAAGGGAGACAGATGCTGGGGTGTTAATTCAGCTCCGCATTCTCTAGGATGGAACTGGGCTTGCTTAGAATAGGGGCCTCTGGATCCGACCCAGGCTTGGGCACACTCTCCTTTGCAGAAGCCAAGCGGCCGGTGAACCTCTGCAAACCCAGCCCGTGCATGAACGAAGGCATCTGTGTCCTGAAGCATGGCGGTTACCGCTGCGAGTGCCGCGGTGGCTGGGAAGGCCCCCACTGTGAGAACCGTGAGTGCTTCCATCCCGCGTGGATGGGGGTGTGCTCAAACACGGATGGGGGTGCTCTCCTCAGTCCTGCCAAGTTTTACATTTCTCAGCAGAAGGCAGGCTGGAGGGGCTGTAAGGAGAGCCGGGGGGGGCACGACACAGCAGCATCTGGGCCTCCTTAGACCAGGCAGAAGACAACCCCGAGTTGTGGGCGTCCAGCCCTTGGCACACACTAGGCTTCCAATGGCCGAGGAGGAGGTCTGCGCGGTGGGATGGGGTCTGACCTGGCGCCTTTCGCTTTCGGGGTTGAGTGTGTGGGGTAAAGAGGACACGGAGTAACCACTGGCTGAGGGGGAGACTCAAACACCCTCGGAATTCACTTTCTTTCCCAGGCGTCTTGAGAGGGGATGTACTCATGCCACATAGCTCCCACCAAGAACCTGCAGGAGGACAGCAGCCAACCCCCTCCCAGCATCTCAGAAGCTGAAAGGCACCAACTGTGGCCTGGTGCACCCCCCGGGGGTCCTGTGGGACATCTGCTTCCAGCTCTAAGTGTGGCCGCCCTGCCCTACAGCCTCTGCCACAGAGTTGGGGACTCCTTCCGAGGTGTCAGTATTTACCTCCTGTGACAGTTTGTCACCTCTCCTGAGGATCAGAACTGGGCCAGGGAGACTTGATGGCCCGTCTGAGGGTCATTTTGAGCATCACCGACACTAGACAGAGTGTTGAAATGGCGGGGCGCTTAAGAGGAAGGCGTCTGACGGCCACCGCACCGTGCAGTGACGGGATTGACACAAAGGGCAGCCTTCTCCACGCCCCCCAGCTATCTCACACTGGTTTAGTTTGGATAGGGATCAGTGCGCCATTTCTGACCTTTTTCCAGTGACCAGAGACCTGTGTGTGGGAAAGACCTGGGAAGGTCTCCGACAGCAATCTGACCAATGTACCAGTTTGTGTCTAGGGAAGGGGGGCATATTTCCTAAGGGTCCTCCCTCCCCGTGTGGTTGGCCTGGGTGCTGCGCAGTAAGACCTTCGGGAGGGGGGGGCTTCCTTTTGGGTTACTCGGGAGAGGAGGCGACTTGGTAGTGCGGGGGCTGTCTATCCTCTTTGCAGTGGTGGAAGTGAAGGGCAGACTTCTCGGGCTCAGCCGGTGAGGGTGACGGTGACTGGAGCTTCCTTTTCTAATGTGCCTCGGGTTACTGTGTCTTACGCGCTCCTCACACCCCGTCGTCTGTTGAACCCTTTGCACATGGTATCTGTGTGGCAAAGAGGACCCCGTGGAGCATCTTCTGCTAACCAGGCACCTAACCGCAGTGCTCACAGGTGCTCTTCCCTGACCCCGCTTGCCCGTGCTGTTTGGGAGCCGGCTTTTCAGTGGCACCATTGCCGAGCTCGGGGAGCTGCAGGGCAGCCTTGGAGAAGTAGCGGTAGTGCCGCGTGCCGCGTATGACTTATGCGCCCTCTACGAGACTCCCCCCCACCATTACAGGTGTAGGGAACTTTGCCGGTGTTCTGTGGGTCCATCCGTCTGTCTGTCTGAGACAATACTTCTCTCTCCAGGTTTGTAGTATGCTTTACCTACTCCATTTTTTTCTTCACATATAGACCATGGATGCGAGTGGTTACATATTGTTATATTTTAGTCACTGAGTCAATTTTTTTTGCCTCCTGGATTAAGATTTATTTTTATTTTGTAATACATAGACCTTTTCATATTGGAGCAGTGCTAACTTTTCATGGAACACCTGAATTTCCCAAACTTTTACACTGCTGTTGTAGTCATAATATTTCCTTGTAAAACCTCGTCAGTGTCTGTAGTTAAGGCTTCCTAGTCAATTTTGCTACTTCGTTTGCTTAGGCTCTTTTTTTTTTTTTTTTTGTCACAGCAGCATGTTCAAGGAGTCAGGATTTTGGTCGCGTTGATTTTTAAATACAAAATAAATACATGTATGTTTCTGAATTTCCTTAATCTTTGCATAGGCAGCCTTCTACATGTTGGTATGTTTCTTCTCTCCAAGAGTTGCTTAGGAGCCTGATTAACCACCGGAGGTTTGGCTTTCAATTGTCTGCCCGAAGTTGGCTTCTGGAGGCGTTTCCTGTGTGTTTGGCACCTTACTAATCATGCAGTGATTAACTTGGCTTACTTAAGGAAGGATCCTTACTGTGTCATTCCAGGCTACCCCATGTGGCTCTTGCTGGCTTTTTTTTTTTTTACAACATCTGTTTAAGTTCATTGTGTAAACAGTCGATACCTTTGCCCCATGCCACGCAATACAAGGGAAACCCAAAATACAATGAATATTTTATTTTAAAAAATCCTAACTCACCACTTGGTAAAGACCACCAAGCATTTATGACACAGGAAATAAATGCCCTGGGATTAGAAAGACAGTATGCATAAAAATATTTAGCCTTCAGGAACCAGTGTTCTATAACCGATTCTGAAAGCCCAGGAATGGGGTGGGTGATAGATGAAATGTTTCAACCTGTGTTAATGCCATCACAGATAAGAGACAGACCACAAAAGGATAGCACTGGCTGCCGATCCGAACAGACGAGAAAGGCTACTCTGACTCACACCTGTTTTTCCTGCAAGGGGACCAGAAATTAAGAACATCTTTAATATGGGAATGAAGAGGTGACTAACTCTTTTCTTAAAGGTGGCCTGGCCACAGGACGGAGTCTGTAAACACAGGGAGTTTCCCCCATACAAGACAGCATTGTTTAAGAGTTTGTCTTTTGCTGGGTGTTGGTAGCTCACACCTCAGGCAGAGGCAGGCGGATCTCCGAGTTCAAGACCAGCCTGGTCTACAAGAGCTGGTTCCAGGACAGCCTCCAAAGCGACAGAGAAACCCTGCCTCGAAAAAACCAAAAGAAAAAAGTTTGTCTTTTAAAGGTGGTTGAGTCAGGACTGCTGTGGAATAGGGGGAAATCCTTAGTGGGGTCAGAGCCTTAGCTTGGTTCCAAATGTGTCCCTGCTGCTGAGTTCACGCCATTGGTGGCTAATGCCATTAAGATCATCAAAGACCACCACGCTGGGCCCACTGGTATGGAGTCAAGAGTGATTTAACCCTTAATCTTGCCACACACAGGATAAAAGACACGGGTCGGAAGTTTAGGTTTTCTTGTCGCCAAAACCACATGGTCATTTTTTTTCCACTACTTAAAAACCTTGATAAAGCAATAGATTGACGGATGAAGTCATAAAAAAAGGAAAAAAGTACAATGTCTCGTTGACGGCCAACAGACGCAGGTCTCCAAAGAAGCCACTGCCGCGTTCCCTCTGTCTTGAAAAGGGGACAGGGCCTTCCCTAACCGGCGCTCCGTTCGGCATCTCATTCCTCGCCTTCTCTTCCGCACAGACTCACCCTTCCTCAGAGCTGCTGTATATATCGAAGATCTGACTGAAGCAGGATTGTCACCAAGGTCCACATGGACATTAGAGTCTTTAGGGGGTTCTTGTTTCCTAACTGGCTCCTTTCTTCTCCCATTCCTACGGTACCAAAAGAGAGTTATCCTCTGTAGCCACCTTCCTAGGTGTGGAGAAGGTAAGAAAATCTAGAAGCTCAAAAGCAGTTACGAGCACAGCTAACCTCATCCCTGTCCCGTGGGGAGAGAGATTTTTGAGGTGGGTGGGCCAGCCACATGCTGTGATTGACTAGTGATGCCTTCGGGGGTCAGGGCGTGGTAGGGGCTCATGCGGTTGAATGGGTTTAATAGCCACCACTGGTGTGGGTGTCTGACTTTCTCAGGAAGCATGTCACAGGACGGGAACAGAGGGCACTCTCAAGGCAGCTCTAGGCACATGAGTTAAGGATTAATAAGGCTTCTTGTGTAGCGCTTGGGCAAGAAACCATGCCGTGGGACCAACATCCCCCATCCCCACCCCTGTGTTTACTTAATTGAGCCTTTTGAGCCTTTTGCTGCTGGCTGCTTTGGTTCTGATGGTAGAAACCCTCCGGGTTGAAAACACGTCAGCCGCAGCCTGCCCCTGCAATCTATCCTGAATGGAGGGGAGGATGCCCTTGGGCTCACTGGGCAGGACACTTGAATTTAAGTACCTTTCTGGTTAATCAGTGGCAAAGACCAAGCCATGGTTGTTTCTGCCGAGAGCATACCTCTCATTCAGAGCTAGTGCCAAAAGCCACTGTGTTCCACCTGGAGGCCCCAGCTTGGAGCATTTCCACCGGAGGGGTGTGGTGGTGGGGAGGGCAGGGCTGTCCGCTCACCTTGGCTTTCTGCAGGACAGTGCCTTTGCCTGTGACCATGACGGAGAGGGGCCTGCTCTTGAGCACAGAAGCCGAGTTGACTGGGGTAGAGTCTGGGGTGGGGTTGGCAGCTTTGGGGTGTGGCTGAGGAGGAGAGCAAGAGGCTTATAAACACGAAACTCATCTCTCTCAGCCCCGTGTCCAGGAGGTCCCTGCCCACAGCAGACCCAGCTGCCAGCACTCACGCGGGGGCTCACGCTGTCCAGGTGGGTGGTGTCCACAGTGGTGCCCAGCGTCACCGGGCCGGCCTCAGCCTTCTTCAGACTGTCCTTCACCTCCATGATACTGAGCTCAAGGTCCACGCGCCTGCCCTCCTCCATCCTGCACTCCTCGTCCACCCTCTTCAGCTTCTGCTCCAGGTCGGCCAGGGCTCCCTTATCTGCAGGGGAGGAGGACAGCGCTGCAGCCGAGGCCGGGGGACCACGCTGCATGGAGGCTGGGGTTTGCACGCACCCCTTCATGTGGCCCACAGGCCTGGATCTAACACAGAAAGGCGGGAACGGGCTTGCTGGTGTGCAGCAGGCAGGCAGCCTTCCAGCCCGGGTCTGAGTCACTGTGTTCTCACGGGCTGGAGGCATCCACAGAGGGGGGGCTCTGCTCTGCTCCCACAGGCAGACCCAAGTCGGGAGACCAAGTCCCTGCTGGTAGGTTCTCACCGCTCAATTCTGGCCTGAAAGCAACACCACCAATGGTCCCTGCAGGGTGGCTGGCATGTTCTGACCCTGACCTACACTGTTGCCTCTATCCCCTGGTGCCTGGTGCTTCCCAGAGCCCGAATGTGGTCCTCAGCGTGGAGTTAAGAAATGACTGCCTGCCAGAGCAAGTGAGGGCTTCGCCTGTGTTCAACACGGAGCCCCCGGCACTGCTGTTCAGAGACTTGATTTGCTAGCCTTAAGCCCTATGCGAGACAACCGGCAGCCGGGGTGGATGACAAGCGGTAATGGAGCCGCCGTTGCTGAAGGATTCAGAGGAAAAGTTAACTAGTGTTGGCGCTGCTTGGGATTCTGAAATTAGCATATATATCGTATTTATATCCAGTGTCAGTGCTTTGGGATCACTTTCTGATCTGTGACTGTAGGACCAAAGAGTTTATTTGCCAAGAGAGTAAACCATAGTGAGCCTTTTCCCACCTATCTGGAATATCCGTGTCAGAGAGCTGGGGAAAGCCTAGACCCCCTTCCTCACAGCCCGGCTTGGTGTATTTAGGGGATTCCAAGGACTGCCGTGGGGTAAGCCTCTGTCACCCCGTGTCCCAGCCACCTTCAGCTGCGGGCCTGATGATGATGTTCATGATGCTGAATCTTGATGGCCAATTTGGCCAGGCTGAGCGACACCCAGGAGATCAGCAAAGCATTTCTGTGGTGTGTCTGTGAGGTCATTCCCAGAGATGAGCTCATGAGGGCTTCCAACTAAGCAGTGGTTGGTCCTCAGGGCGCGCCTTTGGAAGGCGTGTTTTGGCTCCGCTCTACCGCACTCAGACGGAACCAAACCACCATGGAAGAAACAACCTCTAAGTTGTTCATTCCAGATACCACACACCGCAGCAGTAAAAACCTGGCATACAATATCTAAGAGCTGAACCCCCCAAAAACCAGAGGGACCCCACTTACAGAGATGGAAGGAAACAGGAAGTGTCTGCTTACAGAGACAGACTTTTCGGGGTTCGAGAAATAAGCTGTGGTGGCAGCTGCAGTGGTGTGGTGCCCACTGGCCCCTATGTTTGAATGCTTGGTCCCCAAAGAAATGGATCAGGAAGGGTCAGGGGCTGTGGCCTTGCTGGGGTGGGGCGGGTGGGGTCACCGGAGATGAGCTTTGATGCTTCGAAAAGCCCTCGCTGCTCCTGGTTAGCGCTGGCTCCCTCCCTCGAGGTTCTGTCCACAACACGTGCATACATGTGCTCTCAGCTACTGCTCCAGTGCCTGCCTGGCCGTGACAGTCATGGACTCGACCCCTCCCGAACCATGAGCCCCACAATGCGATCTTTTATAAGCTGCCTTGGTCATGGTATTTTGCCATAGTAGTGGGAAAGTCACCAATGCAGCTGCTGACTGACTACAAGAAGAGACACTGCCTTGTGCGGTGAACTCCATCCTGACAACTAAAAAGAGGAAGGACTCTACCCCGCCCCAAAACCTTCAACTGCCATGCCATAAGCTTCCCAGAAACCTGTTGCATTTGTCTCCAAACCTGCTAGGCCAGTTGTGCTTGCTGAGATCCAGGTCAGGTCATCCGGAAAGGCCTCAGAGGTAGGTTGCTAGGACACCTCCCTTGAAGGATGTGAGGGCTTGGAAAATTGCCTAGAAGGCCTCAGATTTCTTTGCAAGTGTCTGGGCTTTACCCACGTAAAGCGCACTGCGGGTGTGCGTGCAGAGGATGACCTGGGACATCAGTCGGCCGACCCAGATCTCAAACCTAGGCTCAGATGCAACCCGGGAGCAACCTAACAACTACCTGCTGGTATTGAGGATCTGGGCAGAGACAGCCTCAGACAGGACCAGAAGAGGCAGGGCCTTCCCCAGGGGCGAGGGGCCTCAGGCTGGGGTCCAGGTGGCAGACTGACAAATCCCAGGCCTTCCCTGTGAAAGCCCTTGTCTCTTGGGCCCAGGCTCCACCCTGGCCGTCGACCCGGGAGCCCCTACCTGTGCATTTTAGCAGGGTCTCTTTGAGTTCCCGCTTCTCCCTGCGGAGCTGAGCCAGGTGGCCCCGGATCTCCTCCTTCCTCCTCTCCAGCCTCTCCTTCTCCTCCGTGTACCGCTTCACCTCAGCCTCCGTCCGGTTCTTCCCGAGTTTGATCTCTGCAGACCCAGACGGAGAAAGGCTTGCACCACCCAGCAATGGATGGTGAGGGCTGGACCTAAGCCCACTTCCTAGACTTAGATAGAGCCCAGGGCGTGGCAGAACACCCAAGCTGATGTCAGCCCAGCAGAGATGGTGGTGAAAGTCAGTCCCTTGCTCCCCCCCCCCCTCCGCCCTGGGTTCTGGGGGTGGGGGTGGGATTTCCTTCACCTCTTCTAACCGGTTTCCTCTAACGAAAGGGAGGGACTCGCGCTAACATCAGTACACCATGTCTAAAATGTTAGGCCTGGGCCTCGTCCGCGTACCTGCACTGGCCACCCTCAGCTTGTCCTTCACAGGGGGGCTGGCACTGGGGGCAGAAGCCACGGTGTCCCTGCAGTTGGCTGGGAAGGATATCCTCTGCTGCTCAGCCTGCACTTTAACCGTGGTGATTCTCAAGCCGGGCTCCGCGGACTCCTGACTCCCCGCCTGTCTCTGTGCCAAGAGAAATCACTCCTGTGACGACAGGGCACAGCAAGGTGGCAAGGCGCCTGCAGGTGGGATGGGCGTGTACCTGCTGCTCCTCCAGGCTTCCTGGAGGCTCCGTGAGGGGCTCGTCTGGGGCAAGGCCTGGGTCTGGGTCTACTGTGAGGGTCTCAGCTAGGTCATCCGGCTGTGGCAGTGCTGGGAGAGAGGCCTGTACCCCATCGGGGCTCTGCAGGAAGGACTTGACAGGTGTGAGGTCCAGGTACACTCGGTCAAGTTCGCCTTCACTGTTAGCATCTAGAGCAGCAGCGGGGGCGGCTTCCTCGGTGGGCTCTGCCTACAGGAAGAAGTCAGGCGGGGGTTTTACTGCCTCACACCCTTGACTGAAGGGACCTGGCCTCAGGTCTCCAGATCCCTTCCAAGCTGCAGTTTCTGGGCAGCCCCTTCCCTTTCAGAGGAACTCTCTGTGGAGTCCTGTGTGGGATGGAAGACCCCAGACACAGCCCTCTATAAGGAGGAAAGTCTAACAAGGTCTTCGTAGGGGGCGGGGTAGGATCGAGGGAGCTGACGCTACCAACAACTACTTCATTCCAGAACCAGGACCCTGCCACCAGCGTGCTCAGCCCACCTCAGCTACTGCTGTGGTCCCCCGAAGGCTAATGGTGTCGCTGATCCCACCATCTGCTCGCCACCCCAAGCACTGAACAGAGCAAATAGCCAGGTGTTTTTTTCTAGCTGGGTCTCCAAGTTAAGACCACACAACCCCCTTGCATGAAAGATTGAGTGGTTTGCATTGATGGCCCTGTAGGTGACGAGCCTGGGAGCCACTCATCTTGGGGACATCGTGACCCTCTGTGACGATGTGACCCTCTGTGGTTTAGCAGAAGGGAACCCGGCAGCCCATGCTTACCACCGTTGTCAGCTCGGACATCTCCACATCATCGTACAGCTCTTCCGGGCAGTCCCGGCTGGGCAAGCCATCGATGTATGTGTTGGGCTCTGAGAACTTCCTCTGCATCAGCCTGGAAGACATACATAGGTGCATGAAGCTTCCAGGAATCCCACCGGCCTCAAGGGATGCAGAGTAAATGCCCTTGGCTACACAGAGATCTGATGTAAATGCCCAGCTCCCTGCAGCTAGAGTCCTCTCCTCCTCGTTGTTCCAGAACTCTTGGGTCCACACCCCCTTCCCGAGAAAACAAGCTGCCTCGTCAGACTCCTATGGCCGCCTTCTGCAGGTCCTAACCTTCTATACATCCCATCTAGCACCAGCCACAAAGTCCCGGCACATTTCATCCCCACAGTGCGGGGGGGAGGGGGCAGCTCAGAGAGGATGCACCCTCATTTTTGTATGTCCAGGAACAGGCTGGCTTCTGCCAGTACGGGCAACACCTCCTTGTCTAAGACACCCCTGCCCAAGCCTGTCTGCCTGTGTGCAGAGTAGACGTGCCTGCCTTACTCTGTGCCTCCCAGAATGCATCAGAGACCCAGTGAGGAGTCCAGAGGAAGGGCAAGGGAAGTCACTTGCTTTGTCCTTGGGAGCTGAGGAGGATCTAAACCGGACTGGGCCATGCGCTCCCCAGGGCTGGCTCTCATCTGGGTCTCTGCACCATGCAGCTCCCTTCTTTGTCCCTCCCTACTGCGGGACCAAGCAGGACTCAACTGACCCCATGCTCTCTCGGTGGCCACGCCGCCCTAGCTACCCAACCAGGTCTAGAAGCAAGGATGGATGGGAAGACATGTGAGGAAAGCTGCTTCTCACTCACAGGAGAGAGGTTTTGGCCGCACTCACAATACAGGAAACCCTTTCAGCATCCACGTAGTCATAGGTGAACTCTTCCGGGTCTGTCTTGGAGCCTGACTCTGAGAGCAGGAGGCCTAGCCAGTGGCCCATCTCCTCCGAGGACTTGGCCTAGAAGGGCACCAAGAGTCATGAACGCTATCGAGGCCAGTCTGTCCCCCTAGGCGAGAACGGCTCACTCCCATCCTTACCGCCAGGCATGAGACAGCCTGTGCAGGGCACCCCCCAGTTTTCCCAGCATGGTGTATCCCCAAGTGATCTCAAATAGCATTTCCCGGCAGTGAGACCACGGTGCCACTCTCAGTGACACTCCAGACATCGGTGGGGGGGGCATCACATGTAATTTGTAGACACGTGTTTCTAGAAGCTGAGAACTACACTGGGCAGGGGCAGTGACTTCCCGTGGTCTAGGTCATCATCCCCACACTGGGCAGGGGCAGTGACTTCCTGTCTTATTTTTGTTCCTTCTTATCCCTTTTCCATCTACACTTCCCCAAACAGCAGCATCTCAATGTCCCGTTTTGATCACGTCCTCTCTCCTGAACCCCTCCAAGGGTTTTCTAAAGCTCCTAGGATCCAAGCTTTCCCAGCCTCATCCAACACCCAGCGGACAGTCATGGTGTCCTTCTCCTTCCTTGAAACTGTAACTAAACAACTAAATTGTGTAATTAGCCAAATGACACTATCACACAAGAAAATAAGCTCTGAGGGCAAAGACCAGTTTTCTCTGTCATCCTACAGGTAGCTGTGGGCTGGTGGGCAAATCAGTGTCTCTGTGCAGCCGTTGCCGGTGTATATGTTTCAGCCACCAGAGGGCAGCATTGAAGCAGACTTTGAAAGACTCCTGGGGATAACCGGCTAAGTGGACCGGGAGTTAATGGGCAAGAGCTTACTTGTGTGCAAGGACCTTGGTTGGCCCTGCCTCTAGGGCTCCTCGCAAGCTTGCATTATGTCATCCCTTGTTTTTGTAACTGTAACAACGCACGAAACCAAGGGCAGGGAGAGGCCAAAGTGTGATTGTATGCAGAGCAAGTCGTGATCCCAGGTAAGTCCGCACTGCCCTCATATTTGTGCACTGGGTTCTCCTGGCTGGGGCAGGCAAAGTAACTAGCACTCCTCTGAGTTTCAGAAGCCTCTCTGGCAATTGTGGGTATGAGAGGTACTCCTTGACTGCTGCAAGTGCAGGAATCCACCCACAGTGTCACCCCTGTAACAAAGCCATCCACCCCGAGGTCCAAACAAGCGTGGGCATTTTTTTAAAAAAATGCAAACAATTGCAGATGGCAGCGGCGGTAAGTACAACATGAAGCCACACCCGATTCTCTCTCAGTGGGATCATGGCCCTCCGTATTTCAGCTGACAGTGGAGACTGCCCGCCCCGCCCCACGGCCCTTGTACCTCAAGCTTGGCCAGCTCCTCGCCGTTGTGAAGGATGCGGAAGGAGTACAGGTGGTCGGGACTGGGGTCTGGAACTACTTCACAGCCCACCAAGCTGAGGGGCTGCTGGGCTGCCTTGCTCCGGTTCCGGTCCTGGTAGAAGTGTAGGTGGCTGTCTTTGACAAAGCACCAACGTGACTTCCACTGGGTGTTCACCAGCACGTTCAGGTAGCCTGCAGAAGGGCGAGCAGACAGGGGCGTGAGGCCACCGCAGGAGGTGCACCGGAAGAGGGCAGCCCTTACGAACAGAACAGGGGCATGGCTGCACGCAGGGGCACCTGGAAAGCCTCGGCGTCTGGGGAAGGCACCGTCACTGGGCCTCTTTGAATATCACCTGTTTCTGACCCCGTTGTACCATCTCAGAGTGCCATTATTTACTCCCTTTTTGGGTAAACAGGCCCACCAAGGCAGGGCAGTATGCTTGTCTGGTTTCACGGCAAAAGCATGACCCGAGGAATATGGGATTTGTCCTCTGTTATAGCACTGGAGATACACACTCATTGAGGACACAGACTCTTCCACTGTGCCTCACCTCCAGGCCTCCATATGTCCCAGCAGTCAACCCTTCCTTCCTTCCGTTACTCAGGCCAGATCTCCTGGATGCGGAGTCTGCGGCTGACTCTGCAGCCTCAGTTTCTTCAGCTCCCTGGGTATGTTTGCCCAGACCCCGCCCATGGTGCCTGGCCCTCTCTTTCCTGCTCAGCAGGTGTGCATGTCTTCTCTAGCCCTGACTCAATCTACCTTAGAGAGTCTAGAGCCTGGTGCAGCAAAACTCTGCTTCTGTCCGCGGGACATGCGTGCATCTCCAGGAACTGCAGCGGCTATTCCGCACAACCCAGGGCTGCAACCTTTTTTAGCCATTTGACGAGGGACCCCACTCCCCTGCAGCACAGAGAAGCTACCAGAAGCAGGGTGCACCCAGGATGCCATCCCTTTCTCCCTCACGGATGGCGGCGTGTTTGTGATCAGCTTCTCAAGGGGGAGGGAGGCCCTCCCCCGCCTCTGATGACCGCTGATGGAGAAGCTATCACACACCGGTGCAGCCTTGTCCCTTAAGCAACAGAGATGAGGGGAGCCTGGCTCCTAGGCCTTGTACACACCCATAAGTGAGGAATTACCTCCTCTCTAAGCCTTACTACCTCAAATACACAGACTTATGAAACAGGTCTTCTCCATTATGAGTGACTGGCAGCTGCTTTGGCCCCACCCACAGCTGGTCACGAGGTGGGCACTGGGGATCATGCGCACATCTCTACAGCATGTTTATGTCAAGTGGAAGCTGGAGACCCCAGAACCTGAGCTCTAAGCAGATGCTTCTGTGGCCATCGCGGCCCTCCGAACAATAAAAAAATTTAGTTCAGGTTAGTCCCTGAATGCCCGTGTCCTCACCGCCATGTCCCCAGCCACAGGGGGAAGAGTATGTGTGAGCACAAGATAGCTCCAAAATAATCTGGTCCCATCTCAGACAGTGATGCACTGGGGGTCAGGCTCCCAGGCCATGCGCTGCTTCCTAAGGATGCGGTGACAGGCAGAACCTGGTCACTCCCCAGCCTGGGAAGCAGAAAGCTCCAAGGGGAACCTTGTCCTGCACCAGGAGGGCCTCAAGACCTCTAGCAACAAAATAACCAGGGTCTCACGAAAGAGCCCAGGAATGGGGCAGAGAGAAAGACCCAGAGGTGAGCACTAATGGCCTCCCAGCCCCACAGCCTGGGAATTAAGATACGACATTTTCTAGGCCTGGCCTGTCTCCCTCCTTGTGGGAACACCAGACCTTGAGCAGAGACCCACTTCCCCTTCTGCCTGGGAGTAGGCAGCTGTAAGACAATGTTTACTAAAAACATGTTTACTAAAAACAATACAATGCCCGGGGCAATAAGTTCCTGGAAAAGGCCTGCCCACAGAAACCACCCTGACCTCGACCTTGTCCAAAGACTAACCGCCCCTTCTGCCACGCCCAGATCAGTTTTTGGGGTCAGAGCAGAACCAGCCAGGGTAGAGGAGAGAGCAGAAGCTTCTCTGGTGGGAGCCTTTCTTAGGAAGTTTTCTTGAACCTTTTTGGAGCCTGCTTAAAGTTTTCTTTACATCGTTGAACGAGTCTCTGTGTTGTCAATCCCCGACACCCTCCGCACGTTCTCGGACACAGGCCGCACAGCAGACGCGACACCTCCTGACCTCAGTTTCTTCGAGCACAAGCGAGAGAAGGAGAGATAACCCACGAGAACCCACGAGAACCAATCAGCACCACCTGCCCTGTGAACCTGCCACTCGGGCTTCCCACGGTCCCCAGCAGGTGTCACCTCCCTGTCCCTATCTCAGAGGCTTTTCTCCAGGCTTAGGCAGCTAAACCCACCCGAGGACAAGCCCTCTCTGGTCACAGGGCATGAAAGGTTCTTCAAGCCCCAATCCTGATAACTAGGAAGATGGTTCTGTGTGTACTCGGGTAAAGGACTGTGCCGTTCACCCACCTTGTTCCGACACCGCCTGCCATACCCCGCGCCACGCAGCAAACAAGAAATATTTGCTTAAGGGAGCAGGGAGTTGGCACCAACCACTTACCCCTCATGTCCTCAAAGGACGGACCTGGGGGAGCATAGAGAACCCACAGGGGAGACAAGCCCAAACCCCAGTTTTGTGTGCACGCCTCTGCCCTCTCAGATGGGCACCAACACAGTGAAGAAGCCCGGGGGTCTGGAGGTCACTTACTAGATGTCTCGAGGGATCGTTCTGGGGGCTCCAGCGAGGTAGACTTCTTCCTGCCCAGGTTCATCAGGTTGCTGAGTTTGAGGCCGGCCGAACATTTCTTCTTGACTGTTAAGATGAGAGAGAAAGCCATCAGTGTTGGACACAGCCTGTCCACATGCAAACCACACTCCCTGCTTATGCCTCCCAGCCTACACATACTCGTGTGTGCACACACATGCCCAGGTGTACACACACACATGGATTGCAGGCCAAGTTGGCTATTCCAAAGTCACGCACTCATGGGGATCTACAGGTATCTCAGTGGAGACGAACACTGGGTGTCTTCGTAGATAGACCGTGTGGCCTCAGAGAGACTTGAAACAGGACCAGAAAAGAGCTGGAGGGATGCTGTCTCCCCCAGCCCGTAGCAAGACTTAACTTTGGTTGGGCCCTCTCTCCTTTGGTTCTGTTGGAGGCTGTGTTAGCATCAGCTGCCTCCCAAAACAACTAGGGTTGAGCCAGACAGACAGCCCTCACACCATGGACTACTGTTGCCCTCCCAACCCAGGGTAGAGGGTCATAGTCTGGTTACCGTCTTTGGTCTCTGGGACCTCAGGGTGGCTTTCAGTGGAGCTCCCGTACTCTGAAGCTGACAGGTATTTCTCAGCTATATCTGGCTGTGGGCAGAAAAGAGATAGACAGGGGTCACGATCTGGGAATAGGTACTCCGAGAGCCAGAACGTAAAGGGAAACAGAAGGCTCCTGTGGGCATGCTAGAGATCACCCGACCAAACCTCTACCAGCCAGGACCGAGGTCACTGGTAGGACACTGGCCACAAGCTTCCTTTTGGGGCTCTCTGGAGCACCTACCTTCCTGAAACCCACACTCCCCCATCCTCAGAGTACCTCCCCTGCCATCCTGTTTGCAAGTGTCCCAAATGGATGTTGGACCTGATGACAACAGGCCTGTGGCCAGTGGGAAGGGAACCCAAACTCATCCCTGTTGGAACCCAAGCAGTGAGTGAGACCCTGAAGACAGCCTTGCTGAGCTGTAGGGGTTTTCCACGTGGCATTCAGTTCTGGAGGATAAAGAGCCTCCCTTCTCCTGCTCTTCCTCCTCCTCCTCCTTATTTAAGGGCTCCATGTGCCCTCTTGCTTTCTGTACTGTCAGTGCTGGGGACACAAGCTGAAAAAAACCATGCCCTGTGACTGCTGGTGGTTCCTGCCTGTTGATACTTGAGACTAGGAAGGGTGACCCACAGGTGACTGCACTTAGTCCCACCTCCTTAAAACCAACGTTCCTCAGAGTGCTATGCCAGGCAGGCCTGGAGCCATTGGCTGGACCCACAAGGGGCTGGCACCACCTGGAGGCTAGGGACTGAGCGGAGGGGGTGAGGTGGGGGGGGGCCTCAGTCTTGCAAAAATAAATGCCCAGCTGGAGAATACGAAGTAATTCCCGATAATCAAGCTGCAAGATCAGCCTGGACCCCATCCAGAGATGAGTAAAGGAAATGTGTCACACAAACACAATGGAGTTCTATTCCACCGCGAAGAAGAATGAAACCGCGTCACGTACAGAAAAAAAAAAAAAGAACAGAAAAAAAAAAGTAACGACTATAAATTGGAGATCGTCACACGGAGACAAGTCAGTCAGACTCAGAAGGACAAACACTGCACAGGCCCCTCAGTTCTGTGCAGGCCACATAAAACAACTCTCACATGACATGCGAATGGCAGCGGTACAGCAGGGGTTGGGAGAGCCAAGGGCGCTAGTGGATGGAGATGCCTCATACACTTGCCTGGAAACGGCTCTCGAAACCCGTCACTGTGTGCAGCGAACTTGGTGCACTCAAGTTTCATATGCACCAGGAACGCAGGGCAAAGGGACTTTTGCTCCAAGAGTGTTTCCTCCTTAAGCAAGACAGCAGCTAGGTTCATCCGTGTTTCATCCCTTTCCCTGCCAAGCTTACTCCCTGCTCTCACCCGAGCCTCGTGCGTTTCTTATTACTGGGGTGTAGGAGTGAACCCCACAAAGCTATCCGCCCATGAGGGTGGGGACATGTAAACTGACACAGGTAGATATAAAAGTAAGTGAAAGAAAAAGGAACCTCCCTTTTCTCCTGGAAGCCAGCCTCGCTTCTAACTCCTGGTTTGTGCGACTCTTTGGTAAATATATTGTTTTCCTATAGCATTGACTATCATTAATACTGGGGCTGCAGGACAAGAACGGAGAATGGGGCTTTCGATCCTATACTCTGAGTTCGTACTGAGAAGACACAGAACTGGATCCTCCCTTGGGCAGGGCGGGGCCTTACTTTCTGACAGTTCAGGCGCTGGGCATCTGGCGTGTACTGGTTCCCCTCTGCAGCTCCTTCGTAAGGCAGGCCACTCACCTCCTGGATGACCTGGATTGAGGAAGCATGGTGAACAGAGGCTGTGGTCCTTGCATGGCCCTGTTCCCCGGCCATCACGGCATGGTGGCATGGTTCCTCAAGCACGGAAAACGGAACCGCCAAGAACAGAAGCAACTGTGCCCTGGTATAGCCCACAAGCATTCCGAGGACACAGATGCCACTCACACACGCCCCACAGGAACCCCCTAATCCGGGGGTGTGCTGGGGCCTACTGCATCAAGGCTCACAGAAAACAGAGCAGCCATCCCTGGATGCCACCATGAGGGCAGGGGTTCTGTCCTGTTGTGCTGTAATTGTGAGTATATGCTTGCTGATGCTTCCCTGACTTTCCAAGGCTCTGGGCCCAGGACTGTGGTCTCCATACCAACTTGGATACGACTTTGACCTGATGTAAACTCTGCACACTTGCTGACCACGGGCCACAGGGCCACCTCACCTCTTCAATAAATGACTGTATAACTGGTACTTGGTGCCTATCCTGTGGACGCACGGGTCAGAGATGGCCCTGACTGCACTAATCAGTTCTGCATTCCTCTTCTGAGCCCAGGACCACCTAGGGGGGGGATCCCCAGAGGGGTAAGAGGGAGGGAACTAGACTTGGGAGCATTATGCATGTGTGTATCACTGTACAAACGCATGCTCATACATGTGCGTGCATGCATGCGGTGTGTCTGTGTGTGCCAGTGTGCGGGTGTGCATGTGTGTGAGTGCCTGTGTGGATGCACGAGTATGAGGATGGGCGTGACTGTCAGAAACCAAAAGGGAGGCCTGGGAAAGAGGAAGGGGTTCAACGAGCAACTCAGCCTTGGGTCCCAGGAACTCTGCAGACCCCGAACAGCGCCTTGCATTCTCTGGGCCTTCACTGGCCAAGTGTCCTACACTTGGCATACGTGGGGCCCAGTTGCTGAGCCCTTTGCATGCATTGAAAAACACAACTTAAGATCACTTTACATACGTGTGAGCACACACACACATATGCACACACATAGGCACCCACACACTCACAGCATGCATGTATACACACATACATGTGCACGCACGCACACATACACACTCACATGCATGCACGCATACACACCAGGCTTTACTCTTCAGAGTCAAATAAACACTCAGCAATCCTTCCATCATCCAAACTGCACCTCTGTCTGTACAGTGGCTCCTCTGTTCTCTATGACAGTCTAAAAATTCTTCTGAAAGGACTGAATGAATGCCTGTCATTCCATCCCAGGTGACTGACTTGGCCAGACATCTCAAAACATTTAGTGGTTTAACAAAAACAGTTTGTTAGCTGTTCTGGCCCACGCCTTTAATCCCAGCCCTCTGGGAGGCAGAGGCAGGCAGATCTCTGAGTTCGAGGCCAGCCTGGTCTACAGAGCGAGTTGCCAGGACAGCCAGGGCTACACAGAGAAACCCTGTCTTGAAAAAAAAAAAACCAAACCCAGCATGTCAGCTTCAAATCTGGGGTACTCGGCACACGGGAAGGGGGCCAATACCCGGGCAGGTACCATTTTCGGTCATGTTTTAATGACGTGTTTCAGGCTCTTCCCTGACAGACTCACGGTGACGGCTATACTTAGCCAGGAGGGGTGGGGTTGTAGATACAATGCCACAAACTGCAAGAGTGGGCACGGTGGTGGAGCAGGTGGCAGGAAGGGGACAGGGGGTGGCCCTGGCTGGCTGCTCTTACTGGGGTCCCCAGGAGCCCTGGAGGGCTTTGAGACCTTACTGAACCGTGAGTCTTCTCTTGCTCAAATAGCAGACCCTCTGGATCCACCATGCTCAGCATCTTTAGTTAGGCAGGAAGCCCCTCCCCAGGTACTTCCTCACGGCAGCTCAAGGACACAGAGGCAGAGCTGCTCAGACACATCCAAGGTGGCAGGGAACACAGTGCGGTGTAGACAGCCCTGAATCTACACCCAGCTGCAACTCATTGGCCAGGGGATGGCTACCTCTGCCCTCCGAGCCTTCATCTCCAATCCCATAAAAACAGGCTCGCCAATTGCCCAGCTACACCCAGGGTTAAATCTGCTTGAAAAAGCCCACCACCCTTGTGGGTACTTCACCGACGCAGCACATACACTCTGCCTTTTTTTTTTAATCATGGAAGAATCATGACGCCTCATTAGAAGGAAGACTGCAAGGAGATTCCAACTACAGCCACTTGCGGCTTCCAGGGACTCCCACTGAGCAGCGGGAACACACTGTAATCTGGTCCACGACATTGATTGCCAATATCCAGAATGCTAGAGGCCCTGAGCATCTCTGAAAGATCATAGACCCTGTCTACTGTCGACCTCGTCACCCACCCTTTAGAAGACGCCGGGGGACCAGACCTCCAGGAGCCCTCCCTGGAGTACCCAGGGAAGCCTGGCACGTCCCCTTACCCGAAGCCACTGCTCAGCCTGGTCCCTGCTCTGCAGGCCCAGCACAATCACGTCGGCATTCATCGGCATGATCTTCAGCTTGTGCTCTTTCTTCCGCACCTGCTTCTCCTTGCGCACAACGCTGCTGCCCAGCAAGTTCACGTCCAGCTGAGGGCTGTGATCCTTGGACGATTTGTAGCACTGGAAGAAAATGGAAGACGCTGCTTTGCTGGGGAATGGGGTGGATCCTGCAAAGGGGAAGCCCTTGAACACTGAGGTGCTCCCTCTCCTCCATGAGCCCGACTATACCCCAAGCCGTAGGGCTGGATCCTCTCTCTCTCTCTCTCTCTCTCTCTCTCTCTCTCTCTCTCTCTCTCTCCCTCTCCCTCTCCCTCTCCCTCTCCCTCTCCCTCTCCCTCTCCCTCTCCCTCCCTCCCTCCCTCCCTCCCTCCCTCCCTCTCTCTCTCTCTCTCTCTCTCTCTCTCTCTCTCTCTCTTCTGACTTTGAGCAGGGATGTTGCAGGACCTGAATCACCCAAACAGTTCTGGATTGCTCTGGGCTCAGAGAAGGGGATCCATGTGCTACTTAGTGATGTTCTGCTCATGGGTGGATTACAGCAATATGTGATGGCTTCCCTTAATGAGACAGTTTGTCCTAGTTTGTGTAAGAACCTATGATGCTCACACAGTAATGGCATCACCTGGGGACACACTTCTCAGAATGTGTTACCTCCCCCACTAAGCCGCGTATGACTCTGCCCCCTGGAGACAGAACTCACTTCTCCACAGTGGGACAAACGTATATTTCTCTACCTTTCTGCGTGTCATAGCAGCCCCAGCAAAAGATCAATTGGTCATGAAAACCAAGCTTACAGTCTAACTTGCCAGATAACAGAACTCAAAGGAAGGGACCATCGCCCTTTAGTCCTTTACCAGAGAAGATATACCGCCCTTAAGCGTCTCACTGTAAAAGGAAGGCCCTCACAAGACAGCTGGCAAGACCACTCAGGAAACATCTGGGGTGAGGTGGACATGTTGTGACCAGAGTGAAGGTGTTTACGAAGACCTCATGAAACTTCAGGCCAGGGCACAAAGCTGTCAGTGTTTGTCCTGGTTTTGGGGGTAAAGTCCTGCTCTGATGCCCAGGCTGGCCTTGAGTTCTGAAACTCAAACAATCTTGCCCTACACTCCGGAGCAGCTGACCAACCACACCTAGTTCAAAGCAGTGAGGTTTTTTCTTTTATTTAGAACATCAGGAAGTAGAAGTATTGTCAGAGTCAAGTCTCTGGTTCCTCTGCAGGTTTTGACTGAGAATAGGTGGGGCTAAGACTTGTAATTCTTGGGATGATGCCAACAGTCCTCAGGTTGCTGAGGCCAAAACTGTAGCTGCAGCTGGACTGAGAGTGCACACCATAATGTTAGAAGGACTGAGGGACAAAAATAAAAGATGGAGGACAAAAAAAAAAAAAAGAAGCAAGGAGACCACTGTGGTGGTGGCTGTAATCTCCCCACTGACTGAAGATGCTTTGTCAAGAGAATGGTGTATTCAAGGCCTGCCTGGGCTACATAGTGAGACCCTACCTCAGCCTCCCTCCCCCTAAAACCAAGCAAGGTGCAAGGGACAGGATGCGGAGAGCAACCTTCTGCTTTGGCAGTTTAATTAAAAGCTACCAGATCTTCCTAATGCAGACACAACACACTCATCTGCACGTGCAAAACTCTGCACACGATCGTAAGTCAGGGGCCAGGTGAAACTCTCCTGCTGCTATCAAAGGCTCTACCCCCAATGTCACATCAGGGAGCACTCGCTCTTCCATCCGCCCCCCCCCCAGCCCCGGTAGAGAAGATGAGGACTGACCAACAGCCTGGTGTCCCTGATCACACAGAGCTGCTTGGCCCACTGGCCCAGCCACTTCTTGCGCCACAGGAAGGCACAGATGCGGGCGTCACGCATCAGCTCAATGCTGGCCTCGGGCGAGGGCCACTGGTAGGGGGCTGCCTTGCCTTTGCTGTTCTCCTCTTCATCATAGGACTCGTAGGAGCTGCTCACGGCCTCACCGTCCTCTGCAAGGAGACCACACCCGGTCAGTCAGGGCCCAGCCGGACAAGAGGATCCACAGGCAAGCAACACGTCAGAGGGCGGCAGCAGGGGCAGCTGAAGACCCCAGGCTGCCCCCCACCTGCCTCCCCCATCCTTGACACAGCTCAATGGCTTCCCACCCCCCCCCCAACCCACGTGGAGAGACTTCGCAGATGCTGACTCAGACCGCAGAGCACGTTTCCCTGCCCAAGCCCCAGCTCATGGGTCCACGGACAACCCTGGGGGAGATGTGCTGCCCCTATGCGTGAACCCTATGCATGCCCTGTGGGCCTCTGGCTCCTCAGCCAGTGGGGGTTCCAGGTTCTGGGCTGGGTCTGGCTCTGCTCCAGGTCTGGGAGGGGTCTGTCTCGGGGGGGGCGGGGAGAAAAGAAAAAAAGGTCACATAACCCATGGTGGGAAAGCGGCTGTTTCCCTTGTTTAGGCTGTGGTGGCGCACACCTCTAATCTCAGCACTGGGGAGGCAGAGGCAGGTGGGTCTCTGAGTTCCAGGCCATCTTGGTCTACACAGTGAGACCCTATCTCAAGAGGGAAAGCAGCAACGGCAAGAACAATGTGCTGGGTCCTGTTCAGGGCCGTTCTTCACAAACCTGCCAGTTCCCGGGCTATGTCCCATTGTCTTCTCCTTGGAGCAGCCCCGGCTCCTTACTGGGCTGTAGCTTACAGCTTTCTCCTACTGTCGGCCGGGGGCTGCTTTGCCTTCCTTCTTAAAGAACCCCTTCACCATCTCCCAAGTCTAGTTCATATCCCTAACCGTCCCGAAAGCATGGTTCTCTTCTCCAGCATCACCAGTGCGTTCTGGGCCAAGGAAGCCACAGTGAAAGAATCAGCGTATCTCCCTACTCATGCATCCATCCATGCGTGCGTGGGTATATTCATCCATGCACTGATAATATCCATGCATGCATGCATGCATCAAACCATGAATGCACCCGCCCACCTATCCATCATCTCTTAAAGGATGCATCTAGCTATCCTATAAGAAGTATCATTGAAGTGAAAGGGGGACTCTGGAGCCCCATGGCAACCCCTGTCTAGTGATACCCTTGATACCCTGCCTGAGTCCCCAATGGACAAGGGGCTCAATCTTCTCCCATCGCCAGACAATCCCCAATTGCTGCTTCCCTCCCTGTGCCCTCCACACAGCAGTTCCGGGCCTGTCCCTGAGGTCGACTGAACAACCCCGACATCCCATGACTCACTGTAAGAGACAGGACGCGGGGAACCCCTGTTTCATCTTCTTAGCGGGGTTCCTGCATATTAGTTAAACAGGGTTGCAATGGAATCAGAATATAGGAGAGAAGTGGTGCTTCTGGTCATGGTGCCAAAGACATATGCTTACTATGTTTCAATATTTCTAAAAAGCAACACTTTAAATATTTTCATACCAGTTTTCTCTAAAAGCGGCATGACACTGTTCATCTTCCTGGCTTACCAAATACATAGAAAACAAAGAGGCACCCAGTTCATCATTCATACCTGATATACCTATTAGATGTACAAAGATGGAAAAATCATGACATTTCCCAGAGGGGGACCCTAAGGTCTTGCGTCTGTGTGGTGGTATAAATCCGTGTAAGCCTCTCAGAAAGCATCCTGGTTGCCTGTTGTTTCAAGAGCTGTAAAGCATACATACTTTCTGACATCTGACCTACACGCAAGTGCTGTAGCGTATGCATGCCCCTCCCCCACCTCCTACACCTTGCTCTCAAATAAATAAATAAATGTAAAAATCAGAAGAAGAGATTGAGCTCTTGCCTAACCTGCACAAGACCCTTGGCTAGATCCCAGCACCCAAACAAATAACTACTTAAAAGGAGGAAGAAGGAACATCCCATGTATTAGCATATCCATTGGAGTGCTACTGTCTCACAGGCAGGGCATTGAGGAAGGCAGAGTGTCCCACAGCTTGGGCTTTAAGGAAGGCAGAGTGTTGTGAGAATTTATTCCACTGATAGTTTTGGTGGGTGTGGCTTCTTGTCTTTGGACCATGATTGCTTAAAAGGAAAAAGACGAGGTCGTGTGCTCTCTTGGGCCATGAAGACCAGATCAGGCAGTATGAAGCAGCGTGTGGTCAGTCCCCAGTCCCTTGGGCAGAACAGAAGGACTTTGCAACTGGTTATAGCTTGTCCTGTGTCCATGAGTCTGTTTTCCTCACAGCATCCTTTAATAAACTGATACATCTTTGTGAATCTCATGACAAGTCGTGCCCACTTGCTTGACGACTGTTTTACCATATGTAATTTTACTAAGTCAATGTTAAAAAACCTTCCTTTTTAATTAGACAGAAAAGGGGAGATGATGTGGATGTCCTTCTGCAAATATGTTGCTTTTATTGGTTGATAAATAAAGCTGATTTGGTCAATGGCTAGGAAGGATAGAACCAGGTGGGAAATCCAAACAGAGATACGGAGAGAAAACAATGAGTCAGAGAGAGATACCAGATAGCTGCCAAAGAGGTAAGATGCCAGAACATTACTGGTAAGCCGTGGTCATATGGTGTTAGTAAAATGGGTTAATTTAGCTGTGAGAGCTAGCCAGTAATGTGCCTGAGCCATTGGTCAAACAATTACAATTAATATTAAGGCTCTGAGAGATTTTTGGAAACTGGCAGATGAGAGAGAAAGACCTCCATTTACATATGACATCAACTCAGGGCACACACATCCACATAAAGCCTGAGAAAGTTTAAAAAAAGGGGGGGGCTTTTAGACACACAAAAACGGGAGTCAAGAGCAACTTCTTGGTAGCTGCATTTTTCCCCAGATAGTCTCTGTTTCCTGGCAGCAATTAGATGCTCAGATCCTTTACGAGATGGCTTTCTGATTCATGCTCTTTCAGGAGTGGGGTTTGTGAGCAGCATGCTGCAAGTTACTGGACAGATTTAGCTTTAGCTCATACAGACAAAGAAAGTTTGCAGGCTGAATGCACGCTACCTGATGGCAGCATTGGGTGGGGGGGGGGTAAGCATGAAGCTCGTTGCTACCGCCACCATGTTGGGAAGCTGAACAGGGTAGAGCCAGCAGCCAAAGCCACCATTTTGGTTCTAGCCACGCCCTTTTAACATTTTAAAAACTCCTGGTCAGAAAAAAGATTACAGATACACAATAAGAACAGATTCAGACAAAAAAAGGCCTCTAAACAGGTCACATAAATGTGCATGGGCTTGGGAGAAAGAAGATGAGATAAACAGAGTCATAGATAAACAATTTAAGGATAATAAGCTGAGGCCCTTGAAACAAAATTATAACGGACCATGTAAAGATGGAAAACACACAGAGAGTCTGGATTGTGCATATTATTGTGCTTTCTTTGAATTTTTGATGTTAATGAGCTAACTACAGAGAGAAATTTGATTGTGGGGGCTGCTTAGGTAAGCCAACATATATACTTTAAAGGTACCTTGACTTCAAATTTTGGGCCTAAGGATATGTTGCTTTTGTTTCCACAGAAGATGAGAAGCTGTGGATTCCTCCCAGGCTAATACAGCTTGATCAAGTAAGATGCCCTAAGGGGTCTTCTATGAGAGTGATGGCTCAGGCGATCCAACATCCAAAAAAGCTTCAAGACAACTGACTGAGACAGTGCAGCCTTATAGACTAGCACAGCCCAGATTTAACCATAATTCTAAATTTTCTCAGGATCCCCATAAGATTACCAACAGAAAACAGTATGTAAAAGAAAACTACACACAAATTCCCAAATACTGTTTATAAATGCATGTTTTCATTTAAAGGGGGTTGGTTGTAAATGGTTAATGGTCACAGTCAATCTCTTTCTAAAGAAAAGTAGGTGATATGATATAGAAATGAATACTTTTCATTGGTATGGATTTTGGTTTAGTGATACAAATTTAAGGTTAATTTTGTTATACTATATGTATATGTCTGCTCTTGTTTAAGGTACTATGTTTATGCAGCTCATTTAAAATATAATATATGGTTAAGAGATTCAAATTAGCAGTCATCTATAATAGTCAAACTTATAGACACGTTAGGTTTTCTAGATATACAGAGATATATTTCAGATGTGGAGGAAATCTTCAAACACTTCGAAGACCTACAGAATATGGCATTTGAAATGTTTTAAGAGCTTAGGCTTTTCATGGCAATGAGACACGTCTGCTCCTGGCAGCACCAATTTACTTCAGTGAAGACAATGGGCATCAAAGACACTCCATGTGGAGTTTGTTTACTTCTTGCTAAAGCTGCCCTATGGGGCCAAGAACTGCCTCGATGGCTGACAGTAAGCATGTCCAATCTGGTCAAGCAGGTTACCAGGAAAAGAGACTGCTGAACCTTGCCAAGACAGGGTAGGACAGTCTTTCAAATTTTCCCACTTCTAAAACTGGCCTGTCAGATATTCTCTGTAGCCAAAGCTGGATGCCCCAACGTTGCCCCAAAACATTGGGTGACTGTCCAGGTAGCCGGCTGTCTCTGTCATTTCTTATATGCTTTGGAAGTGGCTTGCTTGCACTTCCTGCGTACTCAGATATCATTTTCCTTCTCAGTGTTTGATGGGGTTGAAGATTAGATAGTCACAGTTTACTATCGTCTTATATCTTAGCTAGGGCATATTAGATACAAGACTTAGACGTTCCAGGATAGGACAGTTATTGGAGTAATCTCTGTAATTTGCCAGTTACTCATGGCCTGGACCCTTACTATGAGTTTCTTACTTGATGTTGTTCTCGTTGGTTGTAGTTTCATTTTTGTTTATTGGTTTTTGTTATTATATTTGTTTATTATTATGTTACTACCTTTTCTTTCTTCTGCATAATACTTGATAGTTGTTCTTAATGTAAATATTTTTAGGTTAGGATTAGAGCTTTCTTACTTAGAAAAAAAGGGGGAAGTGTTGTGGGAATTCATTCCACCAATAGCTTTGGGGTACTGGCCTTAGGGTGTGGCTTCTTGTCTGTGGACATGAACACTCAAAAGGAGAGAGACAGCGGTCACACGCTCTCTTGGGTTGTGAAGCAGTGTGTGGTCACTCTCCAGCTCCCTTGGGCAGGAAAGAAGGACTTTGTGGCTAGTTATTCCTTGTCCTGTATCCACGAGTCTGTTTCCCCATAGCATGCATATATATATACTTTTTGTGCAGGAAACATGTATGACTAGTGTACATGCAGGACCCAGCCATGGGGACAGGAAGAAGGCAGTGGCCTTCCAGGGCATGCACCCATTTCAGAGCAGGTAACAAGCAAGAAACCATCTGCACTCCAACTCTGGGGGGGACAAGCAGTACCCAAGGTGATTGTGGCATAAATGACTCCTTCAGGCAACTGTGCCAATCTGGTGACTCCAGTGGGGAGATGTGCTCCATAGTGGCCTGCGTGATTGACGTTCAACAGCGTAGACAGAGAGGACGGGGGAGGGGGAGAAGGAGCGAGGGGGAGAGAGGATGAAGAGAGAGGGGGCACAGTTAAGGACAGAGGCTTGGATGTGGCCAGTGGCTGCCCACCACTAGTTCTCAACTTGCGGGTGGAGACCCCTTTGGGGGGTCAAACAGCCCTTTTATGGGATTGCCTAAATCCACCTGCATATCAGACACTTACATTGTGACTTGTAACAGTAGCAAAACTGCAGTTATAAAGCAGAAGTAATTTTATGAAAATAATTTTATGGTTAGGGTCACCACAACACAGAGATCTGTACTAAAGGGTCGCAGTGTTAGGAAGGCTGAGAGCCACGGCACTATCGGCCACTTGCGGCTGTCCCCTCTGAGGTCTGGACTCATCAGGAGAGGGCTAAGGACGTCACTTACTAGCTCTGTCCACATCTAGACGTCATCACTAGTCCTCACCAGCGGCATGTGGTCAGAGTGACATGTGTCATTTCCAGGTAGTATTTTTAAAGAACAGACAGGTACTTTCCACTCTCCCTTTACAGAGGATGCTCTGGTCCTGGAGGGTGGGTGAACAGGAGCCGTACCAGAGTACCCAGCTTACACAGGATCAGAAATGCCACACTGCTCAGAGTACAAACCAACACCAGGGAGTTTCGGCTTACAGCAACTGGTATTTCCCTGGTGGCATGACGCATCAGGATAAAGACCCAGCATCTTGGGCAGAGAGGGACCTTAGTGTCTTAAGCATAAGCCCTGGGGGTCACTTGCTCAGAGAGTGGATCCTGGCTCAGTGGAGCATCAACTGTGTTATCGGTGACACAGCAGGAGAGGAGTCCAGGAGCTGGGCTTGTCAGAGAAGCCAGAAGTGCAATCCTGTGGGCCAGGCTGCTGGAGAAACACCTGTGCTTAATGCTCCTTCCTGTTGCTGCTCAGGATGCAGGGGGCAGCAGGCAGGAAGTGATTGCTGCCCGTCTTGCCACATGGGCAAAGTTCTCTGTCACAAGGGTGTCCAGCTCCCCAGTTGTTCCCAGGTCTCGTGATGGCAGGAGAGACGGACAATCTTCCCATCACCTGCTTTGCCGGCCCACTCCACCCGGTGAGCTCAAACCGACCGAGTGAGAGGCCGAGGCCAGGTGGTAGCCACCAGGGACGCTCAGATCTGAGACAAACACCAACAGGCTGGGCGTTTCTGACCACTTGTTTGTGTGGCGGTGAAGCGTCTGCCCCTGTGTGTTTAGGAGACAGGTTCTGGCTGGCAGGGGCCACGCCCAAGAGAGGAGATGGTCTCAGGATACATGGAGGTGCTCACTAGGTGAGTCACTGTTTCTGCCATCAGGATGCACCCAGACAGCATCGCCACACCCTTGGTTGGCTTGGGTCTGAGATCACCGCCTGGCTGGGGCACGCCGACACCTCATTAGCTGGGTGGGCTGAAGTGAAGCTCACGTACCCACAGCGCCGACCACTTATAACACCCTGAGTCCTGACAAGCCCCCACCTCCCGCGCAGTTAGTTCCTGGGACTGCAGGGGGTGGGGGTAGGGGAACAATAGGTACGTGAGGAGAAGGAGACAAGGCCAGTGTCGAGTTCCAGGTCCCACCTCATTCTAGCCCCGTTGTTGAAGAAACATACAAGGCCCCCGAAGAACCCAGGTTCATTCCCACTACCAGGCACCCATGCTCACCTTTGACCTTTCCAAAGTGCTGTTGAGACTACAAAAAAAAATTCACAAAGGAAGGAGTAAGGGGTGCTTGAGGAGAGGCTAGGCCACTTGTCAAAGCTTTGTCCCCAGTGTGGTGTTACTGAGAGATGCTCTGGACCATTACGAGTCTTTGGGGTTGGAGAGATGGCTCAGCAGCTAAGCACACTTGTGTTTGCAGAGGGCCCAGGTTTGGCTCTAATCACCCACACAACTCCTCACAACTACTGTAACTCCAGTTCCAGAGGATCTGACACACCCTCTTCTGGCCTCCTTGGGCACCAGGCACTAGTATTATATACATGTTACATAATATTATATATCTATATATAGATATAGATATTTGAGCGTATGTATACATACATATATATGCAAAACACTCATGCCAATAAAAATAAATTATTTTCTTAAAAAGAAAGCTCAGCCGGGCGGTGGTGGCGCATGCCTTTAATCCCAGCACTCGGGAGGCAGAGGCAGGCGGATCTCTGTGAGTTTGAGGCCAGCCTGGTCTACATAGCGAGTTCCAGGACAGCCTCCAAAGCAATACAGGGAAACTCTGTCTTGAAAAAGAAAACAAAACAAAAAAAAAAAACAAACAAAAAGAGTAGACACCTTGTGAGAGGTTCCAGATATTGGGGTGTCCTTAAAGGGGTCACGGGAGCCCACCCTCCCTACCCTGCTTTTGCTTGCTGATTTTGAGGTAAGCAAATTGCACCTGTCCCCACCACTGTCCCCTGGCAGGTCTCAAGTAGAGCCTTGAAGTAGAGCCTCCAAAAATCTTGGGCCTAATTCTCTCAGGTGTTCCATGGCAGTGAAAAAGGGGCAAATGCCAGCTGAGGGCCTGGTCAAGGAGAATGGGAGTCCAGCATCCAGCTCAGCTCACACAGCCCATACGCAACGTGTCCCAAAACCTAAGCTAGGCCAGTCACGGACTGACCTGCAAAGGGAGGCTGTAGTCTCATTCCAGGAAAAGCCCAAGCTCCCACCATGGCCTGCGGCCCCTTTGTATGTCTCTCGTCACTCTCCACTGACTCGCCTGGCCCTGCCACAGAGGCCTCCTGGCTTGTCGAACACACCAAGGCATCCTCTGACTAAGACCCTTTGCTCTCTGGCCCGGATTCTCTCTCTCCGAGGTTACCTGCCTGCTCTGTTCTCCCCATAGCTTCAGACACCTGCCTCAGGCCACAGGGTCGGACTAACTGCTTTCCTGCAGCCAGCGCAGGAAACTGTCCTGTTCTCTGCCTTAAAAGCCCCCACCAAACACAATTCGATTTATGTGCGGTCTGTGCTCTCCCCGAGGAACGGGAGTGTTCCCGCCCTGCTGGTGAGAGCAATGGCCCTGAACCTTGAGTAAGAACATGAATGGTTCCGTCAGCCTCAGCCTGACCTCCATTGCCTTACAGGGCCCCTTGGCCGGCACATCTCTCCTACACCACCTCTCTATGCTCAGGAAACAGCCAGGTAGGATCTGGAACCCCGTAGATATGGGAAACCGCTCCCGTGAGTGCCCCAGTCCCTCCTCATGGGCAGGCAGGGGCTGGGCACGCCACACAGACCAAACACGGGACTGCTGTATGGCCAGTTCTCACCTGAGGCCATTCCTGCTTCGAGTCACTTGGTCTACCTCTGCCTAAGAGCCCCGGGGGAGCCTGCTCGTCACCAGATGATGAGTCAGCCTCAGCCTGTGGGTTATAGCAGCTAGAACCCTCTGGGCCCCAGCCCCTGGGACATACCATTGATGGACGTGTCATAAGGCTCAGCCTCTTCGTAGTAGCCCTCGGGACACTCAATCTTTGGAAGGGTGAGCTGCTTCCGCTCTGGAATCTGTAACACATGCAGACAAAGCCAACAGCTTCAGACGGGGACACACTGGGAGCAACCACAGAGAGGCTTTCGTGAGGGAAGACGGGAGTAAAATAGGCCTGGCTGGATACTCGGCAAGCTGTCAGGAGCAGGGTCTACCAGGAACTCTGCCTTGGGGAGTGGGATGGGCTCCAAGCCTTGTTTGCCTCCCACTCTAAAAAAAAGATTCATAGCAGGACTGTTTTTGGGGGGGTACAGAAGTCAAAGTGTGAGAGACTTGGGTTGGAGAGATGGCACAGAGGCAAGCAGTGCTTGCTGCACCATCTTGGGGAGCAGAGGTGGGATCCTGGGACCCACATGACAACCTGGGTGTCCTGCAGATGCCACAATTCCTGCCGTGAGAGAACTCTTGACACCTGTTCCTGGTCCTCTGTATGTGTGCATGCTCTCTCTCTCCCTCTCTCTCTCTCTCTCTCTCTCTCTCTCTCTCTCTCTCTCTCTCTCTCTCTCTCTCTCTCTCTCACACACACACACACACACACACACACACACACACACACACACACGGGGGGGTTAAACTTGAGAGTGTTTCCACAGGGCATGGCCCACATGAAACACGAGGAGATAACTATAATTGTTGAGGGGCCTCTACCACCCCAGGGCCTGCAGCCTGTGTGGAAAAGGGCAATGGGAAGGGCAGAAGCACCCGCACCCCACGACTATCACGATGTCGGCTGAGGCAGGCCTGCACGATGCTGGGTCTAAGACCCCTGTGCCCACGGTGCTTGGCTTCACGCCGGTGTTGCTAGGGCAGGCATGAGGTGGGCTCTGACCTCCCCTTCTCCTTCCACAGCCACACAGGAAGGAGAGGGTCATGAGGTCAGACCCTAAGGATGGCAGGGACTGTGGCCGCTGGCAGAGCTGGCTTCTGAGATGGGACACGCCCCATGGGCTGACTCCCCCCTGAGGCTGGGCCTTGCACGAAGCAGGCATGTTCTCAGGGGTTGCTCAGGCTGATCCTGGGCTTGTTGCCGGCAGCGGCAGCAAAGTCTCTGTCTCCCTCATCTGTTCAGCCAGCAGCCTGAGGAGGGTGGCCTCTGAGACCACCCGTGACTCCAAGGGCTGCCTCCCAGGGACTGAGGGGAAGAGTTCTCTCCCTGGACAGCCTAAGGGCTTGAATATCTTAAATTGACTAGCTTCTCTGTGAGGAAGTTGCTCCAGGCACACTCCAGGTACCCAAGGTTTGGCTCTGGGTCAGGGACTTGTTAGAACTGAACACTTGGGAGCAGGGGACCTCTGTCACAGGGTTAGCCCTCATCACCATGGCTCTGTGACTAGAGGAGGCCATCTTGTTCAGGGTAGAGTCCCAGACGGGGTTCTTCAGATTCTCCCCAGAGTAAAATCTACTGTAAATGGAAGAAATGGCGTAGGACCGTGTGAGCGTTCTATCTGTATGACTTTGGAGATGTTGTCCAGGTTGTGGTGTAAAAAGAAGTATAAATGCCTATTCACGGAGGATTAAGCTGTGTTGGGCAGTGTAAGTGTCCAGTAAGTGTGCGTTTCCAAAATCAACAACAACAATAACAATAATAATAATACAAAAACATCCAAGTCCCATGCATACATTCGGTAGACCCAGAGACAGTGAGTTATCATCAGAGGTTGAAGGACAGAGAACCTAATGTTTCAGAACCACTGTATGAAGTAACAGCATCATTAAGATGTGAAGACTGTGATTGTGGTAGGTGTTTTTTTTGTTTTGTTTTGTTTTTTTTGATTTTTCGAGACAGGGTTTCTCTGTATTGTTTTGAAGGCTGTCTCTCTCTGTAGACCAGGCTGGCCTCGAACTCACAGAGATCTACCTGCCTCTGCCTCCCGAGTGCTGGGATTAAAGGCGTGTGCCACTAACACCAGGCTTGTGGTAGGTGTTTTACGTCAACTTGACAGAAACTATAGAGTTGTCTCAGAGGGGGAAGCTCAGCTGAGGAGATATCTCCCTGAGAGCCAGCCATAGGGCATTTTTCTCAATTAGTGACCCATGGCGGAGGGCCCCGCCCATGTGGGCAGTGCTGTGCTTGGGCTGCTGGTCCTGGGTCCAGTAAGAAAGCAGGCTGAGCAAACTCATGGGGAGCAGGCCAGTGAGCAGCTCCCCTCCATGGCCTCTGCCTCAGCCCCTGTGCCCAGGATCCTGCCCTGACTCCCTTTGGCGACCAGCAGTGCTGTGGAAAGTGTGAGCCAGATGAACCCTTTCCTCCCCAGCTTGCTTTGGGTTATGGCGTCTCATCGCAGCAATAGAAACCCTAAGGAATGCAGAGAGCATTAACCGAGGGCGCAGAAGACGTTTGATCTTGATGCTGAAATCATCAGCCACCGGAAAATACACAAGGAAGAACCCTCCCTGAGCATCAGAATTCACCAAGACCCATGTGCCTGCTTGTTCTCCAGTGAGCACGTATTTTAGGGAAGTGTTGCCTCCTGGGGACTCGTGTCTCAGCTACTCAGTCCTAGGGTTGCAACATGAAGAAATCATGCACAGACCACGCATGCTAAGGAAGTGTAGCAGGTGCAAGAAGATGTTACTGTTGCAAAGAGGTGGCTGGCGACTGGACCAAAGGGCTGGGGGCATCCCTAAAGATGAAGGGTGGCCCAGACCACCCTATGAGCTCATGCACCCTTCCCTGGGGCCATGGCAAGTGGGTAGGCCACTTCACACACTGACCATGGAATTGCCATGTGGGCGTCAGCTGCTTCCCCGACCCCCTATGAAGCTCCTCCCTTGAGATCAGTGCTAATGTCATGGTCAGGGCTCAAAAGAGGGGCGGGGTAGGGAGGGTACTCTTGCCAAGATGGTATTGGCGGCCAGCAAGCATCTGCTTCTCTTGCGATGACCACGGCACCTGGCTGTGCAGCCTGGAGAGGCCTCAGCTGAAATCAACCCTTTCCTCCCCGAGCCACTTTTTATCACAGTGCTTATCACAGCAATAAAAAACCCCAGTGTACCCTGACATGTAGACACCGTGACTCATTCTCACCCGACGCTGCCTTAATGTGGCACCTACAGTCCTGAGCGCCTTACAGACTTAGCCCAGTGAACTGGACCCATTTGGTCACACAGATACCGGCATCACTGTCACTTAAGTGCTGAGGACCAAAGGGCTGGAGACTTGAAGCAACTTGCTCATGGCCAAAGAGCAATCTGAACACAAGACTGTACGATGGGTAATTTTACTCGCCACTCACCTGCTCATCCATCCAGATATCCACCACCCGCCTATCTATCCCGCTATCATCCACCCAACCACGTGACTATTCGTCCACCTACCCATCTGTCTATCTAAACGCCTACCATCCTTTACCACCTATCCATCCGTCCAATCACCACCAACCCACCTACCCATCTGTCTGTCTAAATGCCTATATCCCTACCCATCCTTTACCACCTATCCATCTACCCAGTCACCACCAACCCACTTACCATCCATCCACCCATCCCAGTATGCAACTGCTTCTGCCCCGCCTACTCGGCAGAGACACTAGGCAGGAGGTGGTGCAGGAAAGGTACCACCCCCGTCCTGTGCGGCTCGCATCTCATGGAGGAGACGAATAATAAGACGGCGATGTTAGTAACCACAGGGGCTATGGTTGGACACTAAGGCAGAACAGGAATACAGTAGCTCCTTTATCCAGGCCAGGGAAGTATAAGAGCTTTCGAGAGAAGGGGAGGTGGCAGTCACGGACGAGCCAGGAGCCCAGAAAGTACGAAGTCCCTGAGGCGGAACCAACCTCAGGGCAGAAGGGCAGTGAGTTAGAAGTCAGTGTGAAGAGGCTGCACACACTACCGCCGGGCCAGAGGCGCCTCCCGGGGATCGTGTTGGGAACAGGACATCTGTTTCCAAGCTTTACAAGACCCACTGGTGGGTTTCAAGTATGAGGTGCAATGTAGTGAGAGCCTTTACTAGGTTCCTTTGGGTGTGGTCATAGGGGTGTGTATATGAGCGTGTGGGATTTAGGTTTGAGGGGAAGGACAGGTTTGCTTTCTCTCTGGGTTCTGGTCAGCCCTCGGAGTACAGCTGAGCTCTGATGCTTGGGGTTACCGGTTTCTCATATAAGTGATTTCTCTCCAATAAAATTAACCTACTTCATCCCAATCCCATGTATCGTAATTTGTGCAGCCTATCTAGGAATTACCTTTTTGGAAGACCACAGGCTCATGGACTAGTGACCAGAGCAATTTATGGCCCTGCAGTGTTAGGCACAAGGGGACACTCGGCAAAAGCACTTGACCAAGCCTCCCCAGGCATATTGCTCATAGCACCTGGGGTGTCCTGGTAAGGCTTCCGGTGTTCTGACTTTCCCTGGCTGTGTCCTGCACACAGAATATACTTAGAGTATGTCAGCGGCTTGGAGGACTGGTAGATACCAGTGAGGACAGAGGCAAGTTCTGGGAAGTGACCAGGTGTCCTGGCCCGACACTCACCATCTTGGGTGGAGGAAGATCTGGAAGGCTCTTCTGTGGGGCTGACGAGTGCTGGCTGGGCTCCCCATTGGTCAGTGGACCCTGCTGCTCGGGCGCTGTGGGCAGCAAGAGGAGAAGACTTCAGTGAGGGGCGGCAGGCTCTCATTACCCAGGGATGCCTGCTCAGCTGTCCCTGTCTTGTGTGTTCTATTTGAACACGTGTTAATTACCCAGGCAGGCTGTCTAGAGCCAAAGCTGTTTTTTTTCCTCCAAGAATAGGTCAGCCCCACACCGATTCCTCAGAAGTATCCAGCGTGGGGGTTTCTGGAAGACTCTGCAACCTTCCCTACCTGCCCCATTTTCAAAAACGGCCCAGCCACAGAGCCTCGGTGAGCAGGGCAGCTGCTTGGCAGTTACTATATTGAGCCACACAAAGCACCGACCTGGTGATTATGGCTCTTTCCTCCCACCCTCTACCCAGAAGGTAGAGTGGCTGTGGGCACTGCGTGAGCTTCTCAGTCCCTGACTTGTGGTGGGGGAGGGGGAGGAACAGGCATGGACACCACACCAAAGAAGTTAGGCTACAGACTTCCAGGTCTCTCCAGTTCAACCAGCCCAGCAGGGCAGTGCAGGCTGGCTGGACGCTCAGAGGACAGCCTTTATGGGGGACGTGGCTGGGTCTCTGGGGGAGTCCCTTCCCACCCCTTGAAGTCCTTCTGTTTGGGAATCGGAGAAAACCTTCCCGTGGCCCCTGATGCTGAATATTCTATAACGTTCTGGGGCCACATACACCAGAGGTTCTCAGAGAAAGAGCTTGAGGCAGAAGAGAATCCATTCTGCCCTAGAGTATGCCGTGAGCCTCATCTTTTAATGTCATGGTTGCTGACACTGCTGTTTCTCCTGCCTCCTCCCAAGCAGACTTCCACCCAAAGAGGCAGGGTTGGAACCATGGGACCAGTGCCACGTGCGGCTGCTTTCCTAGCATGTCTGAATTATGACTTCCTCTTCCTGCAATGCTGGGAAAAGCCGAGAGATTTTTAGGGGCATGTTCCTTGTCCAGTAGGCAAGAAGGTGGTGGCCCCATTGAAACATCCAAAAATATATAAACCCAAAAATACCATTCACCAAAATATGGATTCCAAAAATAAACCCCTGGGTCTGTCTGTGAACTGCCTGGGAGGGAGGCGAGGAAGATGGGGGAGGCTTGTGGGTCCTCTGCCTGAAGCCAGGCAGCCCCAGCCCAGCCCCTTAGGGTCTCGTACCTTCATGTGGAGATGCCGAGTTCTGTTCCCTGTTCACTGACACTTTGTTCATGTAAATATATTCCTCATCAGAACCTGCAGGGGGAAAGACAGAGATGTGGCTTCATGTGACTTTGTTTTGCCTCCAGAGAGAGACAGTATCCACTTACGGTATCTTCACATGCTTGCACAGGGAAAGCGCCTGACACGGGGTTGGAGCAATGGCCCAGCGATCAAGAGCACTTGCTGCACTTGCAGAGGACCAGGGTTCAGTCCTCAGCGCCCACATGACTGCCTGAAACTACCGTTCCTGGGACTGCAATACTCCCTCTGCCTCTATAGGCACCAGGCATGCATGTGATGTACATGTACAAAAAACACCCATACATGTGAAATAAAATAAGTAATTAATTATGAGAAAGGAGCATTTGGGATCTTGAGCTGTTTAAGGAGTTAGTCACAGAGACAGGTGGCAGACTTCTAGTGTAGGAATGACCAGATGCTGGCCACTGGCTTTCTACCCCAGAGGTGGAGGCTGGAGGCTGGAAGGACAGCTTCAGGACCAGAATGGGTAAATGAAAGGGCACTCATCCCTCAGAGAGCTATAGCGCATTCCACAAACTGAAGATGTCTCTACTTCCTGCCTGCCTTTCCCATGGTAGTGTGAATCACCATGATGCACTACAATCAGAGGTGTCTAGATTAAAGCAAACCACACTAAGGACCTGGAATTTAGCTCCCAAAGCCCAGAGTAGGGGAGGGGTCAGCATAGGCTGGGGGAGGAGGGGCAGCAGAATGAACAAATCATCAGGACAGAAGGCTAGGCACAGGAAGTGGGGCTCACCAGTCCTTTGGTCTGTTCTGTGGATTGTAGTAATACGACCCACGCCCTCCTTTAAATTACCGTTCTGGTTGGTGCCTGCTGGCAGAGGGGAGCTAGCCTCTGCCACATTGCCTGGCTCTTAGCCCCCTATGTACCCATCTCTCAGAGGCTGCTGAGAAAGCCCTCCATGATTTTTTCCTTCTTTTGAATCCCCTTGATGGTCCTCTGTGGCCCTTAGTTTGTATTTCCTAACAGCACATAGTTGGTAAATTCTTGTGGTTGGACAGTATTCCTGAGCCAATAAGACTCAATGCAAACCTCTGCCTAAGGATCCAGTTCATGGCCAATCTGCCATGGCCATAGACTGCTGATTCCAGCCAAGGGCCTGCAAAAGAAGCTTGAGAAGGGGCAGGAGGAGGCTAGATGGGTTCTCGGCCGTCGGTCACAACGGCACCATCTCAGTGTCCAGTCACGCCAGGACCGGTAAGCAACATTGCCCCAGCCCCGATATCTCTGCTGAAGTAGCAGGGATAGGGAAAGGTGAGAGACAGAGCTCCGCCAAGCTCTGCTATGAGCGGCAGCTTCTGGCAAGGACCCTAATGCCTCGGTGGTCTTCTCAGCCCAGATGGAAAGCCATCAAGATGAAAGCCTGCCCATTGACCAAATGAAACTCAAATCCGGGAACATGAAAAAGTAAGATCACTTTATAGCTGACAAAGATTAGAGACAAGTAACTTAAAGGTTCAAAATAAGGAAGCAATAAAGGAAACCACAACACCCCAGATTCGGAATGCTTCGCCACCGTTCTGCAAAGGCAAATGGATTCCCAGAGATGGTCAGTTGACAGCCACGTGACCTTGATTCTTATACAACCACGTCCTTTTTCCTATCATCTCCGCAGTCAGAAGTCCGTCTCACAGATATGCTCTGGTGCACAGGCAGAATCGTCCTTGAAGTTGTTGTCGTATTTGTCTGAAGTCTTTGGTTTTGTTTGAAAGCACCACAACTGAACTGCCTACCAATAGTAGACCAGGGGACCTGTGATCTGCAGAGAGTGGCAGCTCCCACAGAGCCGGGGTGAGGGAAGAAGGGAGGGCTGAAGCTCTTGGCTACAGTTGGATGGGCAGAGAGCACGTGTGGGCGGTATCTCCTGTCAGAGTAGCAAGTGCCAGAACCTTCTGCAACCTTAAGCAGGGGAAGCAGAGGACATGTTTCTTGCTGACAAAGGCATGGCATGCCACAGGCTGCCAAGTCCCTGATAGAAGAGCATTCAATCCGTGCCCTGTCATCAGCCAAAACCAGAGGGGCCTATCAAACTATCAAACACATGCTCAGAAAAACCCAGATAGATGATCCCATTTGAAAAGCAGGAAAGTGCTCACAGGTGCGCGCGCACACACACACATGTGCACTCCATGGACATGGACAGAGGACACACACACACACACACACACACACATGCATGTCCTGTCCCCGCCCCCGCCATCTCATATTCTGTCCCACACGTGAGGATCACAATCTTTCTTCAAGCAAGCAGAGCACCTCCCCTCCGAGAGAGTGGGCTGAGTCTGTGGAGACGCCCAGTGAGGCAGGGTCAAGGGGAAGCAAATGCTGTAACGGGATGGGGGTGTTTTAGGCGTCAGTCTAGGGTGGCACATTTGATCCAGGTGACAACTGGAGAGAGAGCACGAAGGTGAGGTCTGCCTGCTCTGATTCCACCACTCATAACTGGAAGCCTCTGGGCAAGCGGTTTGCCCCTGTCACTTCACAGGTAAAGGCCATAACACCAGCTCCCTCACAAATAGGAGGTAAGGATTAAGTGGCACAATCCGAGTCACTGTACACATTACACATTGTCCTAAAACACCACGGGTGCCATCTATGCTGATTCCCTGCAGTCTAAGCAGTGCAAAGAAGACCCGGAGGCAACTGTGCAAAGTTCTCAACTGTGCACAAGAACAGCTGATTTACACTGGTGTCAGTCCTGAGAAGTTCAAGCAGTGGTCACGAGCCTCAATATGGCTGAACACATTCAATGGTGGATTTGGGGATCTCTGGAGCTGTTCACATTGGAGACACCTGATCAGATCCCCATAACTGCTCACCATTGACCTATAGACTAGGCCAAGAGTAGGGAAATTCAGAGACATAAAAGACCACTGTGCTGTATGCTAAGCCAAAAGGGATCAGGAATGGAAGGCATTGTGGTACACTGGCACCAGATGACAGCCAGGGGCAGTCTTTGTAACAGTGTTACAAACTTACAGCTTTACAACAATGCTACATCTTTATGACAATGTCACAGCTTTTAAAACAATGTTACATTGTTACATCTTTATGACAATGTTATAGCCTTTTATTATAATGTTACATCTTTATGCCAATGTTACAGTGTTACATCTTTAAAGGTCTGGGATCCTGCTGTTTGAAGAGTTCTATCAATGAGTCCTCTGTGAGGTGACTCATCCCTCTCTAACCTTCCCTCTTTGTAGTGTGGATTCCCCTCTGTTTCCCACCGGTGCTCCTTTGATGTGCAGCCTGGCAGACGCTGCTACAAAGCCAGGAGCCTGGGAACCATGCCCGTGAGCTCCAGAGGGGAAAGGCAAGCACTTGATAATGGAGAGTGGGTAGCCAGGATGGCTCCTCCAGAAGGGAATGGCTACGGGAATCTAGAAACACACTTCAACTCATCACTCTCTACTGGGGACAAAGGGAAGGGAGCCCCAAAGAGCAGCCTGCAATACTCAGGCTAGATTCAGGGAGCCTTCTGGACTGGGACAGCTGGAGCAGAGGAATACTTCCTGCCCTGGCAGGGATGGTGGCCACTCCCGCTGAGAGGCAGATGGATTTGATGCCCTCTGATGGTCCTCACTGTCCCCACATAGAGCACCTAGTTACAAACACCCGGCATAAAAATCGCCTGCACTCAGCTGTCAGGATTTCTTCTGAGAGAAATTCTGAATTTGCTAGAAATGAAACCATCTGCCTAGAAGAATTATACAGGAGCGGTCACAGAAGCCATTTGGCTTCACGGCTGAAAACCGTGAACACCTCACACAGACACACTCAAGTGAACAAGGGCAGAATACACCATCAATGAAAGAGGCAAATCAGACACGGATCTGATGAGTCTTCCAAGGGAGAGAGCCATGGTTATAAACTCCAGAGAGGAGAGGAACAAGCTACAGGCACATCCACAGCTCCAGTCAGTCTCCAGAGGAAGCCACAGTAGACTCGGTATGATGGCCTTCACACACAATGCCAGAACAGATGTCTTCTTAAGGTGGCAGAAATTAGGGCAATGTCTGCCTTGGAGTGGAGATGGGAAGGAGATTAGAGAAAACAGAGCAAGGCTGAATTTAAGAAAAGTAACTGTGTGTGCGTATGCACGTGGGGGTCAGAGGTCAACTAGAAATCTCTGTCCTTAATTTCTCTTTGCCTTTTCTTGCCAGTGTCCATGTGTTTGAGTGTGTGAGTCCTCTTTTACGTATACAGGCACAGTGCACAAGTGTGGGTGTGTTTGCACATGAGTGGGCTCACCTGTGCAGATACCTGTGATGGCCAGAGGCTGACACTGGGAATCTTTCTCAATTGCTTCTCCGCCTGCTTTTTTTGGCCAGCACCCAGTAGAGATCTCTCCGCCCTTCTCCACCTCCCCAGGGGAGTACAGGTGCATGCTGCAATGTCTGGCTTTGTGGGTGGTGGGGATCAAACTCAGGTCTTCCGAAGCTTGTGCTGCAAGAACTTTACTGACTAAGCCATCTTCCTAGCCCAGAAGAGAGAATTTTCTGGATGATAGGGGTATCCTGTTTAGTTTTAGATAGGGGCCACTCTGGTGTATACAACTATCCAAAGTCACTGAATCGCATACATAAAGTCTGTGCGCTCTGTTGTATGTGAATTCTACCACAAAAATGGCAGAACAGTTATGAATTCGTGATTCTGCAATTTACAGTCTTAGAGCCATATTTATTCTCCCCTCAGGCTACAAAATACTAGCCAAGGTATTTAGACCCCACAGTCTGCATGCCCTGTGTGACAGCGGCCCCAGCCCCATGGGGTTGTCTTGAAGAAACGAATTCATACAAGTGCAGCCTTCTTAGGCAGAACACAAACCCTAGGCATTCATAACAACTTTCTGTTACCCAAGACAGCCTGGGCATTCTTAACAACACCCTGACTCTTCCCTTTCAGCCAGTAGTGAGAAGGCTTTGGACACATTCCACTAACAACCCCACTCATCAGCTGACATACGGAGTGTGTGGAGGGTTCCCAGACAAGTCAGGTTACCGTGCATCACTGCTATGAGTTCAGCTGTACCCTTCATATATTACACCCTTGTCTCCAGGCTTTCAGAAACTTTATTTGGACAGAGAGCCTAAAACTGAGGTCTCAGGGTAGTCCTAGTCTATGTGGATGGAGTCCTCACAAAATGAGATTACGAGACGTCACGCAGAGGTGTCTGAGAAAGTCCGAAGGAAGAGCCAGCCCTGCTGACTCCTTGCTCTTGGAGCTGGTCTCCAACGGTGTGCTATGGAAGGTCCCATGACACTGTGCTGTGACAGCCCCAGCAGGCAAGTGCCCCGTGGGCACCCGAGGCCCCAGGCGGGTACTTACTGCTGCTCTTGGTGTAGAGCCGCAGGAGCTCGGCCAAACCACTCTTCCTCACCACGGCTGCACTGCTGAGCTTCTCCTGGTCTAGAACCTTGAGGAAGTCATCCAGCTCTGTCAGCAGCTGCTCCAGGGCTAGAGACAAACACAAGAGAATGTGCTCAGTGACTGTTTCTCTGTAGACCCAGCAACACCCACCAAGGACCCGTGGTTCCCAGCAGGAAGGGCTCCTGTGAGGCTTGGGAAGGACGCTGTCAGCTTCAGAGCTTTGGTGGGAGAAAACCAGGACCTTTAATTTGACACAGATACCCTCAACGGGAGCCACAGACCTACCGCCTGCCAGAGAAGTGGTGTTGGCCTGGCTGGCCCAAGATCCAGAGGGCATCTCCTCCTTCACCAACGTCCAATTTCAGTTAACAAAGAGGAAGAAACACCCTCCAAAGGCCTGGCTGGCTGCTGAGCTACGGCCCCAGCAGTGATTATTATCCCCATCTTTCTCCCTAAGGGACGTTGGTTTTGCAACTTGACCTCCTCAAGTCACTTAGATACACACTCTGCTTTTTAAAAGTCCTTCCATCAGCTGGGTGTTGGTGGCGCCCGCCTTTAATCCCAGCACTCGGAAGGCAGAGGCAGGTGGATCTTTGTGAGCTCCAGGCCAGCCTGGTCTACAGAGTGAGTGCCAGGATGGACTCCAAAGCTACACAGAGAAACCCTGTCTTGAACCCCCCCCCCAAAATCCCCCAAAAGTCCTTCCATCAAAGCAAATACCATTGTTCTGTCACAGGCACACAGTAATAAAATGACACCTCACGATATATTCCACTATGTTTATAGATCAGTGTCTCATTCAGACATCATCAGAGAAACTTCCCCCTGCAGTTAAGAGGTAATACAGAGACCCACAACTGGGCAGTGTGTGGAGGCAGAGAGACTTTGGGGTACATAGCCCCAAATGGGACGCCTTCTTCAAACCCCTCCCCTTAGGGCTCAGGGAGCTACGCTGCTGAAGAGGAGGCAGAAAGACTGTAAGAGACAGAAGGGCTGGATGACTCCAAGGAAGCAGTGTCTTCCAGATACAACAGGACTGATGCACACACGAGCTCAGAGGGACTGTGGCAGCACTCACAGGTCCAAGCCAGTCAGAGTCCCAAGGCTGAGAGGAGGAAGTAAACATGAGCTCCCATCCCTAACCAAGAAGCTGTCTCCAATTGACAACTGCTTGCAAGGGGAAAGTCACTTTCCTATAAGGGAGCCTCACAGGGTATAGTAGCCACATTTAGAGGCAGGTCCCATGCTCAGTCGTAGATGACCAAATGAAAACAAACTCAATGGTGTTTCAGTAGGCTTTTTTTTTTTTTGTCTCACATTGCTCTCTTTAGGCATGCTTTATCTTACTGGTCCTTACTGGTATCTTGCATGTATATTATGGGTTCCAATGTTGGCTTTGTGTTTTTATGGGTTTTGTTTGTGTGTAGGGGGGGGGGGGGCTTTGTGCTTTTTATTTTGCTTTTTTTTTGTCTGTATGTTTGCTAGAGACAGAGAGAAGGAAGTCATGGATTTGGATGTGTGTGGGAAGGTGGGAGGATGCAAAGGGAAACTATGACCTGAACATATCATATGGAAAATTATTTTCAATTAAATAAAAAAGGTGGGGGAGGGGAGTCATTCCATCACTGAAATGCTATGACCCCAAGGGTGACCTTAGTTTGGGTCTACAGCTCTCTAAAGTACAAACCTGCTCATGGATGTCCGTGACAAAGAGCGTCCCCTGGTTCGTCCCTCTCCAGAGTCTCACAGTGACACCTGCCACATTTGCTGCCACACTCTTTATAGCCACGCCTATGCACCCCCACCACAACATCTTGGGGATTTACATTGTAGCAAGCGCCTCTTCTGTCTAAACGCTGTCCACCGCCCCACCCCCAGGCCTTGCTCTCCATAGGATCCCTCCAGAAGCACGAGGGCTAGCCTCCAAAACCCATGCTACCAGCTTCAGCCTCTAGGAAAGGCCAAACCATGGCCCAAAAGACATCTACACTACTTTGCACAACGAAAGGGACTTCACATGGCTGTGGCCAAAGGAAGGAAATACTCCTGGGCCATCCAGGTGAGTCCAGTCATCACAGGTGCCCTGAGAAGAGGAAAGGGGCTGAAAGTCAAAGACAGAAGTCAGGAGGATGGGCAGGAGCCAGAAAGGACTGAAGCTGTCACAATACTGGCTCTGAGGCTAGAAGAAGAGGCCATCGGCCAAGGAATGCAAGAGACCAAAAGGGCAAGGGACTGGGACATCTTTGGGAGCCTTTGGGAGGACCAAAGTCCAAAGGGTGCTTTGTTGTTCTAGAATTCTAAGTTAATGAATTTGCATCACCATGAGTCACCGAGCTTGGTGATTTGTCATAGCCAATCAGAAACGGGCAGCACCAGCACCCTCTTGAAATGCTGTCTGTGCCAAACCCTAGCTGCCTGTGGCAGCACGCATGTACACCCTCCAACAAAGGGCTCTGCACTTAGCTTATGCTTCCAAAGTACCTGCAAAATGCCCAGTGTCTGCTGACTGAATGAGAGAACGAAGTGAAAACAAATTCACTCACTTCCTATGTACACAGAGTATTCCAAGGCCAGAATAATGCAAGTAACGAGACAGAGAGAGAGAGAGAGAGAGAGAGAGAGGGAGGGAGAGAGAGAGAGAGAGAGAGGGAGGGAGGGAGAGGGAGAGAGAGAAGGAGGGAGAGAGAGAGAGAGAGAGAGAGAGAGAGAGAGAGAGAGAGAGAGAGAGAGAGAGAGAGAGAGAAGTTGTCAAATGTCTACCCAAGACATTAGGGCACAGGCGTCCTGATTAAACGGAGATGAGACCCATCACCACACGGGATGGGAAGCATCACTACAGGATGAGCGCAGCATCCTGGCGGCCCCATGGCTAGACGAGGCTCTACCGTCAGAGCCAATCGGGCATCTCTCCTGGAGCCTCTACGTTGGCCCCCAGGCTCACTAAGATTGGAAGTCACAGTGCTCTCCTCCAAGGTGAGGTGCAGCATGACCCAGGCAGATGGACAGAGGTAGGACAGCCCTAGATATGAGTAGAGTGGAATTAAATGTGTGTGTGTCAGAGGCAGCATGACGGCTCTCATGTGACACAGGCTGAGAAAGGACAGCCTCTAAGCCAGCTTAACCCGGAACACTGGCACTCAACAAGCAAACCTGGCCCTCGGGAAAGCTGACAAGTACTTAATCAGGGCTGACGTATGCTGGCCCCAGAGAGCTTGAAGAGGCAGAGGCAGATGCCCAAAAAGCCAGGCCTTAACTTGGGGGGGAGGGAGGCCTGTTGTATTTTCAACGGCTATTCACAAGCTTCCCGTCTGCTGAGACGACAAGTTCAGAGGAGACTCCAGGGCAGAGTGAGCACAGGGATTCCCAGCTCCGCTCTTAGCTCCGGTGGACAAGAAAAGTGAAAGGGCCACGTGAGGAAGCCGGGGTCCGGGATGCGTTCTCCCTGAACTTCTGGACCTCTCCGAGAGGCCAAGCCCCTGCCACCACTCGGGAACGACCCAGAAAGGAAGGAGGATGTCACTGGAAATGCCTCCCTGCTTCCTCATCCTTAGCCTTTCCCAAAAGCTACCCGGTTTCTGGAAAAGAGCCTTCATTTACATTTCACACCAGCAAATGCGAACTAAGCCAAAGGGTATGAAGCTGTGAAGCGCGTTCGCGCCTGGCCCAAGGAGGCACAGTGGTCTCAGATGAGTCCTCAACACCCATGGGGTTATGTCTGCTGAACACATGGGGGTAAAACCAGGTTAATCCAGGAATGTCTCCAGTGTTCCAGCGACGCAGAGGACCGGGCAAGATCTGGGGTTCGGCAGGGAGAGGAATTTGCAGTTGGTCACTGAAGCAGGCATAGAGCTTAACCGGGCGAGTGACTCTGTGTCACAGGCACACGAGGTGTGGGGACTGGTGGGGGATGGACTTCAAAAGGACATGAGTCCTGAGGCTAAAACCGAAGGCAGTGAGGAGAGCCCCCTCTCCCCCTCCCCCTCCTCCCCCCTTCCCCCAAGAGTGTTTGTCCAGCAAGTAGAGACTGAGAAATTCTGAACTCAGTCGGGGAGGCACCGACAGATGGGGAGGCCGGTGGGATAACTGCCCAAGCAGCGATGGAAGCGACGAGGGCTTGCCTAACCAGGATGGCTGGGCATCAGCTGTACCCCACCACCTCTGGCTCCCACAGCCACTTAGTGCAGCTATGGGAACGGAACACTGAGGCTGGATGATAACCCAGTGCCATGGCGACCCCAGGGATGGTGACAGTGAGGGCTCAAACCCAAGTTCAAAGCACTGGATGTCTGCAGTCTGCCAGCTGGGGTCACTTCCAGTAAGCTGTGGAGGGCCACCAGGGCCACAGCTTCTGCTTCCTGGCCTGTCATAATCCACAGAGGCTGGAGAAGAGGAAGGCATGAGGAGACAGCCGGAGCCGAGGGTACTTGGAGATCAAGATGTTCGATGCAGGGTCTATGAGGGAGGGCGCTCAGATGCACTAAAGCCACCAGGAGTGTGCCCCGAGGACAGCAGGGTTGTGACTGTGCTCCCTGACCCGGCAGACTGCAGGGCGCAGTGGGGACAGCAGCAGCAGCAGAGGCTTGCCTTACTCTGAGAACAGACCGACATACTCCCTTTTCTAGGACGTCTGGGGGAAGGGCAAGCATCCAGAGAGACATAGCTTGAAGAAACACAGGACTGAAGGCCTGCGTGAGACTCTGGGGGACCAGCGGGCACCATCTCCCTTCTCTCCTGGATGCACATGGCAGACAGTCTGCTGAGTGCTCTCTCTACGACGTCACGGGTGACCGGCCACCCTCAGCTCCCTCGCCAGCTCAATCCCTCTGGTTCCCAATGTGAGGGTACAGTCATGGTGGGGGGGGGAGCATGGATGGTGGGAGCGTGAGGCAGCTGACACATGACATCCACAGTCCAGAAGCAGAGGAAGATAAACACTGTGGGGGGGGTCAGGCCACCTTCTCTTTTTATTCAGTCTGGGACCCCAGCCCATTGGACGGTGCCTCTCCACATTTAGGGATGGGTCTTCCTTACCCAACTAAGCCATCCTGGAGACACCCTGATAGGTACCCAGAGGGCCATTTCCATGG